AAATACACGTATCTACTAATTTGTTATAAATTCTTTTTTCTTCAGAAGCCATACTTAGTCGTCTAAAGGATAATACGTGCGGTGAATTTGTATAGAGCGATGAGATAATGCCGCTGTTTGAAACCCGTAGGCAGATTTATTTTTTTCTAAAGAAATACGTAATTAACAAACGTTCACGAATTACTTCCACGGTGAAGAAAAAATATAATGTAATAAAAATCATTATACTTTGCGTAATTACTAGTGGTATGAGAATCTTGTGAGCCCGCAAGGGTTGGTACCAGTATCTTGCCTATTTCTGTCGTGAAACAGAGCTTTGGAGCCAACGCGTGGGGCAGCAGTTACACTGTAAAACTGGGACTAGTACTCGTGTCTCAGGGTGGGTGGTGGCAATTACGTTGTAGATGTCCATGGACTCCGGTTGCCTATTAACACCTGGTGGGCGGAGAACTCGTCCTTTTCTTGCTTTTGTTATTTGATTAATAAATAAACACATTTAGATTAGCAAAATATTGTTTCCCTTTGTGGACTATCCTTAGACCCTCTGAAACTGACTGTACAAAGTGCAGTAGCCGTGACCTAACTATAAATATCACAGTATAAATAAGCTCTACTATAAGTATCAATACGCGTTAGATTTGCTATTATTAAACAATAATACTATTCAACGTTTAAACATTTTTCAAATCGGATCAGTAGTTCCTGAGATTAGCGCGTTCAAACAAACAAACTCTTCAGCTTTATAATATTAGTATAGATATCTATTTTCTGGTGTATAATAATATTTAATGAAATCACTATGACTTGTCAGCTCTTCTCATTTAAACGTAAAATAAGATAAATTTAAGAGGCAAAGTCCTTTGTTCGCCTGTACATTTGTCGTGTTTTATGTTCACTATTATGTAGAATTTACTAAGTGTAATTTATATACATTATTATTGGACATTCGAATGCAGAGAATCTGTGCCAACCATTAATATTTTTTAATGTATTTGAGCACACTTTGCGGAAATTATAAAGGATATATGTTATAGTACGTTAATATTGTTCAATAACCCACTCAGTTTTTCCGCCGGATATTCTCAGTGAGTCTGATCCTGTAGTAAATTTAGCGAAGCATTAGCAGGCAAGATTTAGCTTTTGCAAGGGTCAACGTTAGTAATTCTCTCAGCTTGAGCCCGTGAACTCACCCACCTGTCCTTGAGTAGTTATGGGAAGACACTTCGAACTCTTCTTAGGGTTAGTCATCGATATATTACCACTCGATGGGGTTAGTGCTAAAGGCGTCGAATCTATGTTAGTGAATCGAGTGGAATTATTTACATCTATACTAATATTATAATCTATACTAATATTATAAAGAGGAAAGATTTGTTTGTTTGTTTGTTTCGAATAGGCTCCAAAACTACTGGACCGATTTGAAAAATTCTTTTTCCATTAGAAACCGACATTGTCCCTGATGAACATAGGCTACTTTTTTTTATTTTATTTTTTTGGTTTCATGTGTGTTTTAATGTTTCCGAAGCGAAGCGAGGGCGGGTCGCTAGTGAAATTATAAATTTGATAGAATAAAAGACAGAAACTTTATTTTTTATTTACCACTGAAGTCAATTGATATCGTACTTGTATCATTCAAATAAACGAGAAAGGATATTGAAATCCCGCAAGGAAGTCAACTATTTTTGCGCTCCAATCACAAACAAAACATCAATATCTATTTAAGGGTCAACTCCTAACGTTAACATTGATTGATTTATTTATCATCAACGTCCATCCTTGCGCATTACTATTGCAAACTTCATTCATAAATGTGTTCGTAATGCGTGTAATAAATTGAGAATTTTACGCGGGATTTCTATAAACTTTAAATTAAAACTACTGTTACGGTTTAATCTCGTGTTTTTTTTTTATTGCTTGGATGGTTGGACGAGCTTACAGCCCACCTGGTGTTAAGTGGTTACTGGAGCCCATAGACATGCGACATACAAAGTAAATGCGCCACCCAACTTGAGATATAAGTTCTAAGGTCTCAAAGAATAGTTACAACGGCTGCCCCACCCTTCAAACCGAAACGCATTAGTGCTTCACGGCAAAAATAGGCAGGGTGGTGGTACCTTTTTTTTTTTTTTTAACGCTGGGGAATCCATTTACGGATACCCGGTCGAGGGGGGTAACGGACCGGGTTATGTCGGACTCCGGCGCCTCCTGAGAGGAAGAAGGGGAGAAGAGAAGAGCCGAGGTCCTTCACCTCCCCCAATTTCTCACAGGAGACTACGCCTTGAAAAAGGCGCTCGAAGCACTTGCCCCGCAGAACGACTACCGACTAAACCCCATCGAGCCCCACCACTCCGACTCCACGAAACCCACGGTACCGTACAGTGCGCGCCGAAGGCTCGCCGTCGCCGGTACCCATCCTGTTAATAGGACGGCACTCCATCCCCGGGAAAATCCCGCAGGACGTCGTCTCGGAGACACACCGTGAGCGGTGCACAGGAGCCACAGGGTGGTGGTACCTATCCGCGCGGACTCACAAGAGGTCCTACCAACAGTATTTTTTTTTATTGTCATATCATTTCCAGTGGCGATTTATTTATTGCTTGGATGTGTGGACTAGATTACGGCCTAACTGGTGTTAATTGGTTACCATAGACATCTACACCAAAATTCCACCTCCCACCTTGACATATGAGTTCTAATATCTCAGTTTTTGCACTAAAACGGCTGCCCCACCCTTCGAACCGAAATGCATTACTGCTTCATGGCAGAAATAGGCAGAGTAGTGATACATACCTACGCGTGCGGACACAGAAGTCATCATAGCACCAGCTAAAACGGCTGTCTGGTGTAGTGGTAAGTGACATGGTCACTACACAAGGGGGTCGCGGGTTCGAATCCCGCCAAGGGAAGATATTTGTATGAGTAATATAAATGTCTTTCCAGGGTTATGGGTGTATATCAAATATACGTATGTGTATAATAAAAATATTATATTTATTTCCCTTATCTGGTACTTGCAACACAAGTTCTTTACGAACTTAGCACGGGACTAGTTAACGTGGCGCGATTGTTAGTAAATATTTATATTTATAGTTAAATATTTACGATTTTCGTGATCACGAACTTGTAGTAACTTGGTGAACATCAAGTAATCATTAATTCTCATTGCGAATTACAACCGGCTTCCTGTACTAAATTTAGAATTGGTAATTCAAATCTATAGTGGGCTTAAAAGTGAATTTAAGTTTCTTCGAGTTTACTCGTGCGTCTTTGCCTTTGTTAACTCTTCACTCGTAAAGTTTGTGAATTAGTTTCGTTAAAAGAAACAAGGTGGCGCGCGGGTAGTTTCAATTAAACGCAGTAGGATAGTAATTGCAGTAGGAAGCGGCTTGTCTCTGTCCCTGGAATTGCTGTAGTCCATGGGCGACGGTAACCACGCACCATCAAGTGGGCCGTATGCTCGTGTGCCTACAAGGGCAATAAAACAAAAAAAGAAATTGTACAGTGTAGTGAAAGCTACAAGCTACTATATGATATTTAAATTGTAGAGTATATTCTTTGTTTTTCTCTATACATACATATGTTTTACGGGGTCAAACACATCCCGCAACATTTAGCAGGTCGTTAATCACCACGTGGGAAGACGCTGCGCTTTCCTGTGCGCGGTTGCTACTCGAGAACTTTTCGGCCCCATCGGTTATCTATTCTATGAACAATGTATCCTATCTACTGCCATTTCAATCTTGCAATCGTTCAGATTATGCCAGTTACTTTAGCTCTTCTTAGAATCTCCTCATTCCTGGTTCGATTTTGCAGGAAACTTCCCAGCATAACCCTCTCTATTGTCCATTGAGTGACTTGACCATTGAGTCTTCCGATAAGGCTCATTGTCACCGACCACGTCTCACTTCCGCATGCCAGCACTTGCAACACACATTAGTCAAAGACTTTCATCAAGACATTGCAGCATTTGAGATGAGAAAATTTTGCACAGCTTCCCGAACGTTTCCCAGCACAGTTTCACAATTTGTGCCAGGTAGACGTAGTCGACTATAACTTCGCGCGTAAAGTTTTCTGGAGTGGGCATAATTAGTATTCGTACATATAGTATTCGATTTATTAATCGTTTTGTGCATGTTCATACTATAACCCACTAGGATTTCTGTCCCTACTGAGGTCATTAAGCATTTTGCTGATATTCTCCAAGGTCTCAACGATAATCACGTATCGTCGGTAAGCCAAAGTTATGTACAGATCGTTGATGCCTAGCCCTTTCCGATCCAGAAACTTGAAAAAATCTTGTAATGCATCGATGACAGGTTCGAAGAAATAACATCTCCCCGCTTCACATTACATTGCACATGGATGGGTTCTGAAGCCCGGTCCTGTAATTGGACTAATAAAGTTGCATTTTCGTACAAACACTTCAACACTTCGATGTACTGGAACCGTTGGAAACTGCAATAGAGCCAAGGTCTCCATCGTATCGAAAGCTTTGTCGTAGTCCCCAAAGACAAATCAAAACTGCAGGTTATATTGCTCGGTCTTTGGTACAACCTGCTGCAGGGTATGAATTTAGTCTACGGTTCCACTGTGCCCATTAGTAAGAATTACTAAAAAACATAAACTATTTAACTACCCACTCGTTTAAATGAAGAATATTATTAATTACAGCAACAACATTATATTTAATTAAATATATTGTTCGCTTTTAATATATAAATTGAATAAATATGTAAATTGGTGGTAGGACCTCTTCTGAGTCCACACGGGTAGGTACCACAACCCTGCCTATTTCTGACGTGAAGAAGTAATGCGTTTCGGCTTGAAGGCTGGGACAGCCGTTGTAACCATACTGAGACCTTAGAACTTATATCTCAAGGTGGGTGGCGCATTTACGTTGTAAATGTCTTTGGGCTCCGGGTGCGCCATTAACACCAGGTGGGCTGTTAGCTCGTCCACCCATCTAAGCAATAAAAAAAACACTTTTAACTATTACGCAGAATCGAGGATATCCGGGATGTGCTGATGACCTTAGTTCATTTGGTGCGAGCAACAGAAGACAAACTGGAGAGACATGAGTTCAGAGAGAAGATGCTTGGGGAACAAGTGAAGAAGATGCTGATGGCACTTGATAAAAAACATAGAATGCTAGAACCACTGAAAGGGATGATATCGAGGCTTGATCAAAGGCTTTCAAACGTGGAGACGATTCTTCTACAGGTATGTTTAAAGTCACTAACATTGTTAATTATATATTTTAAACCAATCATATTACTTGGTCAAGGGTATTTCTTAACGTAAGTTTTATTTCAGAAAGAAGAACGCGAGAAAGGTTCCCAAAAGAAGACAGATGAAGCACTGGAAAGTATCCAGAGATCTATACTAGCTCTAACGACGACAGTCACAGAGAATGCCAAGGAAAATAAAAATACAGAAGTAGACAGTAAATTAGAATCCTATGGAAACACTTTAGAACGACGACTTAATGCTACTGATGCCAGATTAGAAGCTGTGAAAACTCAAATAGATAACTTGAAAAACACAATAACTGAGGTTCGCTTCTAAAATCTATTTCGGTACTGGGTAAAATTTTACTAAATTGGCGATTGATTTTAACTGGTCACATTATGCGTTACGTTAATTAATTTTCTTCTTTAATTACCTAACTTATTAAAAACTCAGTTGAATTTATCTATACCAGTGGTCCCGCAGTGGTCGAAATTCGACTATAATTAATTGAAATTATAAGTTTCAACATTGTTATGGTCCTATTGTATAGATTTCGCCAAGACTACACTATAGACAAATACTCGTAATATTAAAGATAAACAATACTAACCTATTCTCAATTTGACTACAGACTTTAAGCAATAACAAAAGTTTGACAATAAACAAAGAGTGTATGCGTGTGTGTCAAATACATGGTAGTGTGTGTAATGTTTTCTTTATTGATTTAATGTATCTTTTATGCATAATTTTTAAAAAATATTAGCATTGTGCACTTCTTCTCTATATTCTCTATAAGTGTGGAAAATTTCATATTCCTCCGTCCGCGCAATTTTCGTAAAAAGGGATACAAAGTTTTTGCTTCACGTATTACTATATCTATCTATATAAATAAAAATGAATTGCTGTTCGTTAGTCTCGCTAAAACTCGAGAACGGCTGGACCGATTTGGCTAATTTTGTTCTTGAATTATTTGTGGAAGTCCAGAGAAGGTTTAAAAGGTAGATCAATATAAAAATGCTCGGAATTAAATAAAAATAACAATTTTGTTTTTCCTTTGATGTGTCCTTCGTCGGACGGATTCCTTTTGCTTGTTTTAAATTTATTTTATACAAAAGTTAAGGTCTTTTATTTATTGATTGAGACACTACGAAGTCTGCCGGGTCAGCTAGTTTCAAATATATATGTTCGACTTACAGGATAACCTTCGAACATTGTGCCAGGGAATGGCCTATGACGAAAATCCATTGAAGAAACACCTGACGGAGGCTGAGAAGCTATTAAATAAATATGAACTAAAGTTGGTTGAATACAATAGTACTTCGAACAAGAATGATGTTGAACCGATTAATGAGATACCTTTGGCCGACGAGCAGTGGCACAGTAAGATGGCTGAAGGTGGGTTTACATTTCAGATTATCAAGGTTCATGACCTTCAGAACTTGCGAAAGTAAATTTTCTTATTAATTACCAACTTTATTATGGGTATTGCTATAAGAAAAGTCACCTTGTCTTAACAATCCCAAAAATTGTTTCTTTAAACACACTTAAAACACACTTAAAATTTATGTTTAGGCTCACGCTTTTTTCAATTTCAATGTCATCTGAAATAGTTGGGTACTGTAATTATAAAATAGATAAGATATATAAATTAATATAATATGTAAATTATAGGAAACGACAGTATATCTCAGTCTACATCAATATCCTTTCCGAAAATTGGAATTGTAGTAGTAATAGCCTAGTCTATAAATCGTACTGTAAGAAGACATTATTAAGCGTGTCATTTGTAATATTCTGACAACGCAGTAAAAGGTACTACCGCTCTGCCTATTTCTGCCGTGAAACAGTAATGCGCTTCGGTTTAAAGGATGGAGCAGCCGTACTATAAAACTGAGACTTAGTCATGTCTCCAGCTGGGTGGCGACATTTTTTTTTTATCGTTTAGATGGGTGGAGCTCACAGCCCATCTGGTGTTAAGTGGTTACTGGAGCCCATAGACATCCACAACGTAAATGCGCCACCCATCTTGAGATATAAGTTCTAAGGTCTCAAGTATAGTTACAACGGCTGCCCTACCCTTCAAATCGAAACGCATCACTGCTTCACGGCAGAAATAGGCAGGGTGGTGGTACCCACCCGCGCTGACTCACAAGAGGTCCTCCTCCTCCTCGAGTCGAGTTCCTCATGTCTGAGGGTCGTGACCACCATCACCCATGAGCTTCAATCTTAGGATCTTTTTCCACTTTCCCCTGTCCACGGCGTCATGCAGCGCGCTGTACACTGTACTGTCCAAAGCGGTGCGGATCTGATCGGACCAACGAGTATGGCTGCGGCCTCTAGATCTGTTGTCTTCAACTTTCCCTGTGATCATAAGTTTTTCCAGGTTATCGCCGTCTTTCCTCGCAATGTGACCAAAATATTCGAGGATCCGCTTCTAGACAGTCTGATTTTGATGCCCAGTTGCTTCAATATCGACACGTTAGTCCTAGCACCAGTAAAACGTTACGTTGTGGACGTCTATGGGCTCCAGTAACCACTTAACACCATACCTTGAGTTCGCCTACCTATCTAAATTTAAAAAATACAATTTACAGTAATGGAGCGTCAAGAGATAGATATAAAGAACATTCAAAAGATACTAATTGACGCAGAGAGCATGTGGAAAGATTTACCGCGAGTTTCACAGATAGAGCGTGCCCACAACGAAACTTTGGAAGCTATTGTCAACGCAACAGAGGACATAAAAGCTAATGACGAGAAATGTAAGTTAATACTTGTTTCTATACTTGTAAATAGGCATGCTTTAACAAAAACCAACTTCAAATAAAAAAAAAGATATTCCAAAACAAATAAATATACACTAAAAACAATAATCATCGGTTGGCGTGGTATTGAGTTATTCATCTATTTGTCGCGCACGTACTTAATGCAAATTTAAGACTTATATAGTTTTCTCATGGATACCTTTATCAGAACTGGACTAAATATGACCACAAGGGAAGCGTTAGCTTTCTAATAAAAAAAGAATCATCAAAATCGATTCACCCAGTCAAACGCTCTGAAGTAACGAACATAAAAAAACATACAGTCGAATTAAGAACCTCCTCCTTTTTTGAAGTCGGTCAAAAATTATTGCTGACGTGCATATTATGAGAAAAGCAGAGTCTCTAATCAAATTATATTTACACATAAAAGTAAATGTTTACGATTACTTTAATATCTTGGCTTTGATTTGGCAGATTTTTAATACGATTTTCTTTATAACGAAACTAATCTTATTGTAGCTGTGGATAAGGTGAACAAAGAATTGCGTGCGATGAGCGATCGCCTTCAGGGAACTAATGTGGACATCCAGAAAAGTCTTACGCAGAGCAACACGCTGACAGAACGCGCGTTCAATGACATCTGGCGAAGCTACGACATGCTGCGGAATGAGGTAATTAATGCAGCAAATGAAAATGCGATCCGTGACCACGAAACCTGTAATAATAAATAAATAACTGGGAACAATTCACGCACGGTCATCCGTGTGCTTAGTGCGAGTTTTTTAACGTTCTCGATAGCGTAAAAGTTAGCTCATATTTTTGTATGGAATGTAATCGTTTGCCTACGTTTGCTGTTCCAACTGCATACAAAATTACGTTTACTTTTACGCTATCGAGAACGTTAAAAAACTCGCACTAAGCACAAGGATCTTCTCAGTGAGTCGCGATTCCGATCCAGTGGTAGATTCTGCGAAGCACTGCTCTTGGTAGGGCTAGTGTTAGCAAATTCTCTCATAGTGAGCCCGTGAGCTCATCTGCCCGTCCGGGCATAGCTGGGATAGCCTCTTAAGCTACCTACCAGCGAATAGGTAGGAAATAAATACGAGGTCTGGTATTTCTATCACGAAACAACTATTGTTTCACACTTGGTTTTTACGGATGTTCCGTTATAACTACTGAACCATGCATTTGATTGACTTGAAACTTGGTATCCATGTAGAAAATACATGTACTTAATGGATAGGCATAATATTTATATGATTGTTGGACTCCCTACACCAGTTGCGGGGGCGTTAATGATGAGAATCTTTGTTGGGGTGAGAAATAATAATGTTAATTTTAAATGCCCAGCGAAGCGGACGGGTACAGCTAGTCTTTCATTAAGACTGTGTATTCACGTCATCGTTTCATTATTTATCTATATGTGTTTTATTTTAGATGAAAACACTCACTAAGAGCGAAGAAGTCATTTTACAAACCGCAGATAATGTGATCGCAGCGAAGCAAGGTATAGAATACGGAGTTCAAAAAATCCTTATATACGTGGGCGACCTCATAAAAACGCAGACTAAAACTATGAACAGAACTGTTAGCGAAAGGTAAACGATAATATTTAATATTCAACGCATAGCTAAGATTATTATTCTTATAAAAAATGCATTACTCCTGACAAATGCACATTTACATATCGCCATAGATTTTAAATTCTAGTTTTATTTATTGTTTTTTAATTTTATATTAAGAATTGTAAGTATATTAAGTATTTAATTAAGTACCTATTGTACACTATTGATTAAAGCGAAATTTTTAAACAGATTCGACGTGATACATTCCACGGTGATAGACAAACATAATGGAACTCTTGTAAATCTCAACTCAAAGATAGAGATGGAAATGTCGCAAGTGTGGCGCCAGATTGGCATAATGCATCAACAGCTCACAGCAAGCCAAGGGTCACTCAACAAACTGACGGTAATCTATTTTTGTTTCACATTAAATAGTACATTGTGCACCAAGGGAGAAAAGTTGGACTTTTTCCCGCGGTGCACATACAATTTTTTCTCCTACCAGGCCTCTACTCATAAATACCATTCTCATAAAAAAAAACAATTTAACTGTTTTTTTATTTTTAAATAAACTAGTGATAACTGTAGTAAGTAGTAAGAACTGTCTGATGAACTCATCTTTGTATAATACTTCACTATTAAATTTTATTGCCTTTTGTTTATTTCACTTTTACACTAAACACAATATTGCAAATTACCCGAGCACAAAAATGGCGAAGAATTTTAGGTGCGTGAGAGCAGACGTAGACACTAACGCGCATGCGCACTTGTCAGTACCCAGGGAGGAAAAGTTACACTTTCTTCCCTGTACAGCGGGAGGAAAACCGAACTTTCGGCGTCGGTAGGAGAAAAAATATATATTGGTGTATAAAATTAATTTCTCTCGGTTCCCACCTTTAGAAGAAGGGTCGGGTCATCTTGTTGACGAGTTGCGATCTTGTTGAGACTAGTGCGCCATTTAAGCTTGAAGAAGTGCTATGGTGGGTAGAAGTGTAAGAGAACGATTTCCAAATCCGAATTGCGAAACGTATAGAGTAGTCATGTGATTTTAAGGGTGGGGCAGACGTTGTACTTCTTCAAGATCTTCGAGCGAGCGGATAAAATCGCTCTGTAGACCGACAGTTCGAAAAAACGTCGTAAATAACCAGTCAAATAACTATTTTTTAAGACCCTCAGGTCTAGTATTATTCTACTGATGGCAGCTATTGTTGTTAATGAAATAATTACGATGCCTTTTTATTATTTGTATTCTGTTGACAGGAACTATCCGAGAGTTACACAAATAGTAGTACAATCACTTTGAACAAAGTGAAGGATGAGGTAATTTACAATGCACCTTATTGCATGACGATTAGAACTATATCACAATGATTAAATTGTATTGTTTGTGTAGGTTGGCAACGTCACTAACAAAGTATTGGAATTGGGTGAGAATTTAAATTACGTATTGGGAAGACTGGCCCTCGTGACGCAGGAGTTCAGCCAAATATCAACAGGATTGAGCGAAGCATTAATGAACTTGAAGAATGATGGGAATGTTGAAGAAAAAAAAGAAAAAGGTTAGTTTTTAATCTTTATTAATTAAATTAATTCTATCAAACCCACGAGTGTTCTGGTTCCATCAGCATTAAATTTGAAATAAATAAATTAATACACACACGTATGTGTGCTTAAAATGGAAGCTCATCGTATATCTCACTTGGTTGCGCAAAAATGTAGTGTTACTTTTAAGTACAAATGTCTGGTAATGTTATTGTGAGAAAAACAATTTTAATTGCAAATTTTAACATTTTAAACATAAAAATTTTTCTCGATCCTGAATCTCTATTGGTTCTTACGTAATTTTTTTTTCTATTTGCTTCTTCTTATCAATCTCCCAATTCACAATGCTTTTCCAAATTGTAACGCAGTTGACTCACTAATATTGTCCGTGAAATAGTGCCCAAAATTGACAATTTTCCGTCTAGCTCTTGTATTATTTCTTCTCTGAATAAATACCTTATACAGTATACTGTGTATCTAATTATACTGAGATCTTAGAACTTATATCTCAAGGTGGGTGGCGCATATATGTTGTAGATGTCTATGGGCTCCAGTAACCACTTAACACCAGGTGGGCTGTGAGCTCGTCCATTCATATAAGTAATAAATAAATAAAACCTTTATCGATATTTATTGAACAATTCAAAAGTTTGAACAAATTCATCCGCCGTCAAGTGAAACGCTCTAACCTTTTTATTTATTAGCAGTATACGTTTTCACATGTTCATAAAACAGTTTCAGGTCCTGGCCCTCACGAAATTAAAACAGAAAACAAACCCTGAGTCGAGTTCGTCGATGCCAAATATACTATAAGAGTTATATTGTAACTAGTTGTAAGCTATTACCAACTTAGTTATTAAGACGACTGAATTAGACACAATGCCTTAAGTTCAATAAAAAATTATAAACCTACCATCAAAAGTTAGATTAAAGAAATGTTTCACACAATATGTTGTACTTCTTCTTCTTCTTCTTTGTCGTTTCCTCATTACTGAGGGCCGTGTTGTACTTAACCTATTAAAATACATAAATAAAACGATAGATATCTATTAGCCATCTCACAATTCAATGTTTTTTATTGAGACTGACTTAATGTCACAAAGGTGAGTAAATTGACAAGATTGTAATGTAAAATTACTAAAAATATATCACGCAATGTATTGTTTTGATCCGTTAATGCTACTTTATCAATACACAAACTGAATTAAATAAATAAAAAAATTAATATGACTACTTATGACGAAACGTAAGCTAAAATTAAATGGTCAACAGTGTTAATTAATACTAATTATAGTTAAATTTATATACGTATTAACAACTTATATACTAAGACTAATATGATTTCCTAATAAAATAATTTAATCTAAAACAATATGTACTTTGATTTAAACCGATAATTTATATTTATTTCAGTCAGTAGCGTTTGAAAACGGTAAGTAAAGACGTCTTTCTTCAAACGAAGCCTGCGGAGAGTACCTACTCAGGGGTACCTAATCCGTGATTACCTGGAGCTTGACTCAGTTAGTATTTACAGTCGGCATCATTGCGCCACTTTGAGAAGGTGGCACGACACGAAAACCCTCTTGTCGTGGCCGCCGGAAATTACATACCCGATCCTGTGGACCGAATGGTAAACAGTCGACGTCACCCTAAACACGTTATTACGGATTCTTCCGATCCATTAACAGTTCTTTTAGGTACCTCAAGCACCGGTCACCGTCCTCGCCGAACCCGTCGTTTCCGACAAAGGGCTCCACGAGTAAATTAACCCACAGACACAGCCCACTGATTTTGTCACCGGATGTTCTCAGTGGGTCGCGTTTCCGATTCGGTGGTAGATTCTGCGACGCACTGCTCTTGCTAGGGCCATTGTTGGCAACACTCCGTTTTGAGCCCCGTAAGCTCACCTACACGTCAAAAAGAAGCTGAAATAGCGTCTCAAGGCTATCAGCATATCATTTTAGGCTTTACAGCCCAGGGTGGCTTTAGCCTGGTCCAGTATGTCTCTCCAGACTGTTCTGTTCTGGGCTTTCTGCTTCCAGTTCCTGACACCGATAGCTTTGAGGTCGTGCTCTACGCGATCTAACCATCGGAGTTTGGGCCTGCTACGACTTCTGCGGCCGTCTGGTTTGCCATATAGTAGTTATCTTGGCATTCTGATCTCCTCCATTCGAACTACATGTCCTGCCCATCTTAGGCACCAATTTTTATAGTTTTTTATGATATTAAGATCCGTGTAAATATCAGACAACTCGTGGTTATAACGCGTCCTCCAAATCTCGTTTTCCTGTACAGCACCAAATATCCGTCTTAAGATCTTACGCTCGAACACAAGAAGACGGTTCTCATCCTTTTTGCTAGGTACCCATGTCTCTGAGCCATAAATAAGAATGGGCCTCAGTAGGGTTTTTTAAAGAAGAATTTTGATATTTCGTGACAGAGTTTTGAATCAGAAATATAATATACCTACTGGCTGTACCCGTCCGCTTCGCTGGGTATTTAAAATTAACATTGTTATTTCTCACCCCCACAAAGATTCTCATCATTAATGCCCCCGCAACTGGTGTAGGGAGTCCAACAACCATATAAATATTAGCCTATCCATTAAGTACATATATTTTCTACATGGATACCAAGTTTCAAGTCAATCGGATGCATGATTCAGTAGTTATAACGGAACATCCGTAAAAACCACTGTAGATTTTTAATAGTTTAGTATAGATAAGCAGGCCGAAGTAGCATTTATTCGCCGACAATATTCGTTTAACTATTTCTGCTGTTATGTAATTATCAGCATAGGTAGGAAAAAAGGGGGTAGGCAGCGACTTGCCTATGCCCCTAGCATTGCTGATCTTCATGAGCGACGGTAACCACTCACCATTAATTGGTATGCTAGTCTGCCTTCAAAGCTCATATAAGGAGTAAACACGAGCTAGGTATTATTAGCAGTAAAAGGATAAACAGAGAACCAAATTGTTTGTCGGTCATACAGTTTAAGAGTCACGCTTTACAACCAGTAACGAAATAAAGAAAATCTTTCAGTAATAAGTTTGTGATCGAAAGATTCTTTTTTATTTTCAAGAAGTACCTAAATATGGCTTCTAATGCTTTTTAATCAGAGAAATCTTATCTCCTATTATTTTGCTGATACTCTGCGACAGACATAGCCAAACCACCGCCTACCGCTAAATTCGAACTTTTGGGATAGCAACTTTCCATAAATCAGGAGCGAACGCTTGCAGCAGAAGCATCTATGTGAATTGACAATTAATTAGATCCTCTGTGTTTGACCAGTTTGCCAACGGAACTCTCAAAAACAATTCCCTGACTGACCCTATATGATATGATCTTTCAAAATATGCGGCAGATCCTTAGAAGATGTAGAAGCGGGATTTCATAACTTATATCTAAGAACAAGAAAGTAAGATTTAAAGCTACATGAATTTGGCTGTGTGTGAAACGGATGACAGCTTGTGAAATGTGGATTGTAGGGTTTACGTGTTTCGTTCATAATTTACAAATAATATGTAAGTACTTGGTTAGACTCTTGGGGACATTTCGATTACCAACTTATAAAATTCAATGAGCACTGCTTACGAAATGCGATGTCAATGATAAAACACACCCAATAAGTTGAATTTTACCACACAATAAAATTTTAACAAAATGATAAATTTGAATTCAAAGTAATTTTATGTAATACTAGCGGTCCGCTCCGGCTCCGCTCGGGTCTTTAACAAAATTTTCTACGATATTTAACGTTGTTTTATTTTTTAAAATAAAAGAAGACTTATTGCGGCATAACTATAATAGCTAGACATATGCTGTCGCGACACTTTTTGTAAATAATAATGTGTTCTACAAAGTCGTAGTACATTATTCTATCATCAATAGTTTTCGCAGCGCATGCGCTGTAATAAATATTTTAGGTAATTTTTTTACACCTTGGGTTACATTATTGGAGTTTAAGGATCCCTAATTTTTTTCAAAAAAGATTATAGCCTATGTCACTCAGGGATAGTGTAGCTTTCAAAGAGTGAAAGAATTTTTCAAATCGGTTCAGTAGTTTCGGAGCCTATTCAATACAAACAAACAAACAAATCTTTCCTCTTTATAATATTAAGTATAGAAGTATAGATGTTTTAATAGATAAATTATTTACTGACATTTGTTCAAGGCTAGAATTTAGATAAATGATTAAAGTTGTGTTTTTGTCAATAAATGATTTATGACAATTATGATTTTGTTTAAAAAAAGCACTATTGCACTTAAAGTTATTGTTAGGTGACACAACTATTTATAATTGAAGTTCATACCGTAGAACAGACTCGGATAGTGGGTAACAAAGGAGTGCCGAAGCATGGGGTGCGGTCTGACCACTCCTAAAAATTAGAACGCCCCGTAGTGTTAATAATCCAATTGGAAAGAAATGACGCTATATGTGTATATTTCTGTAAAATATAACCTAACGTAGCTTAGCGATTATAAACTAGTTAAAACTAACTCGAAAGGTCGGAAAGATGGATCCTTTTATGGATGTGATAAAGAATTCTGAAGAACCTGAATGGCTTGAAAATAACATCGTTGGTGGCCTGAGAGTTTGGCAACTTATATTTTTGTGTCTAGCTGGTGTGACGGGTATAAGTAAGTACTAAAATCTTCTTAGAACGATTTCCCAGAGACAATTTCAATTACAACCGATGTGTTGCATGTAACTTTGCCAAAGTTCATTTTGTATAAATAAGATTTATGAGCATATTTGAACTTAATGAGCTCTTAAGCTGCACTTTATATTGCATAAGACCTAACCTATTAATCTTCATCATCATCAGGCTATAGCTACCTATTACCGAGCACTGGCTTCCCGTCAGAATGTGAATTGTATGACATTCGCTCAACCATGGCTCACAAAATATCTAAGGATATTTCTGCGTAAGATTCTTTAATATCTGCTTAGCAGTTTTTTATTTTATTTATTGCTTAGATGTGTGGACGAGCTCACAGCCCACCTGATGTTAAATGGTTACTGGAGCCCATAGACATCCACGACGTAAATGCGCCACCCACCTTGAGATATAAGTCCTAAGGTCTCAGCATAGTTACAACGGCTGCCCCACCCTTCAAACTGAAACGCATTACTGCTTCACAGCAGAAATAGGCAGGGCGGTGGTACCCACTCGCGCGGACTCACAAGAGGTCCTACCACCAGTTAGAAGTTACTATACACAGTAAAGACACAAACAGTCCGTAAGTTTATCCACCATTATTCTTTTAATTTCTTGCAGCGGTGATAGTGTGTTGCTGCTTTCGCTTTCGAATACCCCGCACGAAACAACAAATAGAGGCAGACTACCAGAGGAGGAAGATCACTTCTAAATTCAGGCAACAACTAGAAACTATACAAGACTCTAAAATGGATGCTATGTCATTACATGATGGTCAGTGATTTGTTATTGCTTATGGACTACCCTATCCCTCAAACCGCAATTAACGTCTGGTTCGTGGTATGAATGGGCAAGTTAACCTGAATATATGTGAAAATTAATCTGGCAGAACGAGATGCTTAAAAATTCGTTAAATTGGTACCTACCTGCTTTACTATTATTTGCTCTTTTTAATATTTGATCTATTGTTGTGGGTTATTTTTTTTGTATAACCATTAATCATAGACACAAAGGATTTTATATCCTCTGCAGTAACAGAACAGATAACAAATGAGTCAGTTCAACAATGATCTTATTTGCATTTCAATACGTGTGATAAGATAATTTTATGATAACCGTTACATATTAACCGTTAACGTCTGCACGCCAGCCCTAGAACTTTTGCACGAGAAGACAAACAAACAGATGGACTACCAACCAGGGTCGCAGCCGAGTTCCATCTCCCCGGAACAAAGTGAGCACATTTTTTTAGAATTAGCTTGCAGATTTAATTGGGTGTGCTAGATTCAATTACACCGATCTAGCGTTCTGTATACTGTAAATTGTGTAATTAATGATAGAATGGTTAGATGCTTTTAGAAGCGTGAAATATGAAGCGTGGATTTGGAACAGTGGGTCAAACTGATCGATATTCGTCACCCCCACAATAGTGTCTGGTACGTTGCTTTTCGTAGATTCGCCTATTAATTACGAGTTCTAAGTATTTCGGGATTTCAGAACCATAACATTTTTCGTGTGTTTGCATTTCAGGGTTCGTAACTCAGGCTAAAGATTTTTTTACTGTCCTTGTAGGCAGACGAGCATACCACCTGATGGTGAGTGGTTCCGTTGCACATGGACTTCAACAATGCCAGGGGCAGAACCAAGCCGCTGCCTACTAAAAAAAAACTAAACTATAAAAAATGTTAAAATATGTACCCAAACCCAAAAACAATTCACGTCATTATTCCTTTATTGGTATTCCCCAAATTCTCAGGTTCTCTCGATGCCACAGTCCAACCCGATGGACAGAAGGCAGAGCCCCAATCATCGGGGCCCAACTTTGTGAAATTTGCGACAAAGGTGGCCAACGTCTCCAAGCTTGGCCAACCCAAACCCACACCCACATTGCCAGAGGAGACGAAAGACAAAATGGACTTTTAGAAAATTTTATTTCTTAGCAATTTAAATAATAAAAGCCAGTAGAAAGAGTTTTAAATCTGAAGACGTATATTTTATAACGTTATTATAGCTATATGTGAAATGTAGTAATATTTAGTTTGTTCCTTAATATAATCATTGCATTGTCTTACTTAGTTTCATTTTGGCACAATTACCTTTTATTTTATTTTATTGCTTAGATGGGTGGACGGACTCACAGTCCTCCTGGTGTTAAGTGGTTACTGGAGTCCATAGACATAAAACGTAAATGCGCCACCCACCTTGAGATATAAGTTCTAAGGTCTCAAGTATAGTTACAACGGCTGCCCCACCCTTCAAACCGAAACGCATTACTGCTTCACGGCAGAAATAGGCAGGGCGGTGGTACCTACCCGTGCGGACTCACAAGAGGTCCTACCACCATACCACCAGTACCTCTATCTGTATAGTATTTTAGTTTGAGTGACTTCGTTAAGTGTGTCGTGTATAAAACAAATATCATATTGCAGTAAGTTTTCTTTAATCTAGAAAATAAAAATACAGTATAAACGGATTTTTAAATCACAAGAATAATAATTACATATTCACAAATAACTTCCGTGTTCCGCACAGTCAACATAATCTCGCTTTAAAACTGACAGTAAAACAATAATCAAATGTAAGCAATAACTTTAAAGCAACATTTTAACTTACTTTTATTTTACATAAATAATATTTACTTAGCAAGTTTTCGAAAAAAAGAATTACATAAAATTTCGAGTTAGCTAACCTTTCCATTAATTAGTTTACAATTGTGTCTACGTATGCCATTTTTAATTTTCATTCGTTCACTTTATATATTTATTATTTCATGTCATGTCATAAACTTGCCACCGCGACCATTGACTTAGCGAATTACTTAATTCATATAAATCCCAACGTGACTATAACGCGATGAACAAATCACCTTAGTCAACTTTCAGTCCACGACTCGATAATCTCTCATCCTAATATAATTAATTAAAACACTGTTATATTTTTTACTTATATTTTATTTTTAACACATTACCACGGCGAGTTTGGATTGCATTATCATATTACAGTTACGAATTATTTGGTGTTTTTTTTTTCTTTTCAATAATCCGAGCAACGTACTCGCGCTAAGCCTACGACGCTAAACACGTGTCGTAAGAATGTTGTTGCACCAAAATGTTTTACTGAGCAAAAAAATTATTAATAAAATATTTCAATAAAATTCGTCTAGGGTGAATACAAATGCTTTTCGGAATTTGCAGTGAAAACGGACTGTTGTTAATAGTCAAATATACATATTGCGTTTCTAACCTAGCGTCTCTACAGAACAATAATCGCATCGCATCGATCGAACTAAATCAGCATCACCATAAATAAGGCCATTACACATAGTTCTCGTGGTCTACGGAAGAATCTATTGTAAGGTACTATACATTTTCACTTATATATTAATTATAATTGATCGGACCTATCTAAAACGTAAACGGTAAAAAATACATTTAAACATTGTTCGTGTTACACGTAATATTATTATCATTGAATTATACAAAAATGTTAAGAAATAAATACAAGAGCAGTTAAATAATATAAAATGATAAAATAATTCGTACGAGTTTGTGCATGTTACCTGTCTCAACATTCATGTGATATACATTTTTACATCTAAAACGAAACGGTAAGTAAGTAGTGTGTCATAATAATTATTATATTACATTTTATTTCTAGACGAAGACCGGTAATTGTATTAACTTACAACAAAATTACGTTAGCGAGTCTCCTACCTTCGACGGAAACTATACAACATTATCTAGATATATATATTTCTGTATACATAAAAGTCGAACGCTAAACTTTAGGAACCCAAGTCTGGATGCGGAGCTTTCGTTACAATAAAGCACAACTTCGTCTTCGTCGACGAGTACCACTACTGCAACATTAATTTACGCGCTACGATCACGAATCGATCGAATAAATATTTGTATTATATTTATCATAAAATGTTCAAGTTTCCTCGCGTTAACTACGAAACGCTCTCGGCAGCACGCTAAATCATTGAGCACACGAGCGTATATTTGGCAAAAATGTTTCGTGAAAATGGCATCAAGACAATGTTATAATAAGTACTTTGTGACGTTCCGAAGGACACTCGGGTAGTGTAAAATATGAATAGAAGTAACACTTAAACGATCTTTTAAGTAATAAATTAATAAAAATTAACAATTTCGTTTGAATATTATCGAGCGTCGGACGACACTGCAATGCACGCAGCGTCCGCTCGTGTATCTGACGACCGGGGTTAATAATTTAAAATTGTTCAAATTACAAGGTGGATTCAAAGACTATAATGAACGTTCTCGTCGTGACGTGCGAAGGGTGGAGGTCGCGTCACTGATGACGTCACCGGACGACGGAGAACGCGCACACTGTGTTCGGCGTCTACCTTCCGCCGCAACGTAACACTCAATCTCTTCTCACAAAAGTTCTGCCCCTGTACGAGAAAAATTTATATATATAAAAATGATTGCTGTTCGTTAGTCTCGATAAAACTCGAGAACGGCTAGACCGATTTGGCTAATTTTGGTCTTGAATTATTTGTGGAAGTCCAGAGAAGGTTTAAAAGGTAGATAAATATGAAAATGCTCGGAATTAAATAAAATTAACAATGTTGTTTTTCCTTTGATGTGTCCCCCGTCGAACGGATTCCTTTTGTTTGTTTTAAGTTTATTTTATACAAAAGTTTAGGTTTTTTATTTGTCGATTGATGCACTACGTAGTCTGCCGGGTCAGCCTGATATAATATTAATGAAACGAAAGTTTGAGAGAATGTTTTTTTAAGGGATTTTGTGACCTTTAAGTCATGTCTTATTTTAATTTATATTCATATTTTTATGAAAAATTATATTAAAGAGTGAAATGAAATGAAGATGATTAAATTGAGAGAAATGAGTTCGTCGTCCTGGTGGTAAGACGTCTTGTGAGTCCGCACGGGTAGGTATCACCACCCTGCCTGTTTCTACCGTGAAGCAGTAATGCGTTTCAGTTTGAAGGGTAAGGGAGCCGTTGTAACTATAGTGAGACCTTAGAACTTATATCTCAAAGTGGGTGGCGGATTTACGTTGTAAACGTCTATGGGCTCCAGTTACCACTTAACACCAGGTGGGCTGTGAGCTCGTCCACCCGTCTAAGCAATAAAAAAAATAAAAAAAAAGTCGTGTTGGGATCCGGCCGCACTCACGTGATGGTCTTGCGCTCGGAGGGGCGCGCGGCGGCGTGCGGGCGCGCGCGGTTGAGCACCTTGAGCAGGTCGCCGGCCTTGGCGCGCATGCGCGAGTGCACGTACACCTTGGAGCACTTGATGTGGTAGTGCAGGTAGTCGCGGAACATGTGCAGCAGGTCGATGGTGTTGTCGCGCGCCGCCGCGCACGTGTGCCGCGGGAACAGCACTGCCCAACACACACACACTCCGTTAAGCGATTACGTTTTATTCACTATTGTGAGGAGGTAAAGGAATGCGAGGAGCAATTGTCCCCATTAAAATGTGAATAATGTGTGTCTGTGTGTGAATCGCTTGATAGGCAGCAGCTTGGCTCTGCCCCTGGCATTGCTGACGTCCATGAGCGACGGTAATCACTTACAATCAGGAGGCAACTATAAGTCCACATTGTTGCCATTACTAAAAAGCAAGCAAATGCGTTTCAATTCGAACCTTCAACTCGTGTCTCTGCGTGCTCAGGCAGTAAATAAAAAAAACATTCGGTTGTACTCACGATTACAAAATTTTTTTAATTAATAATCAATGGTTTTTCTTTTCTTGGAATACTAAATGATAGGTAAGTAAGCACGCACAGTAGGCGACACGATCAAAAGTAACGCGTCTTGATTTTCAGTGTCGGATATGCGCTATGTAAAGTAACAAGAAATGTAAGAGATTATGTGCAGGAAAATAAAAGTTATTCAAAACAGAGATTTTCCAGTATGGTGGTATCTACAATTCAAATTCACAAAGGACATTTTCTGACAACCAACCAACTAATCAAGCAGATTAATTATGTAGATACGATTTTTGTTAATTGATATTATTCGTCCGTCATGGACATTCATAACATGTACAGTACATATTCAATTCTGACCTGCCTCAGGTTTGAGCCTTGACATAAATAAACACATGTTCACTCAATGTTTCAGCCATCAAGCTGAACACTCAACTTAAATAGTTATTAACTCACCAAATGTGACGTAGCTGATGTTGTCACCCACTCTGGCGTCAGTGTCGACCAGCTCTAGCGGCGGCTCCTTGTGTGAAAACAACACCTGAAGACACATAAACAAATCGTTAAACTTTTAAATTCTTGTTACAAGTTTATTTGGGTGCAACCATGACCTTTAATAAAAACTACAAAACAGATAGACAGCAGGCAAGAAGACCCTGATTAGCATCAGAAGAAATATTGATAGTACAGGACTTTATTGTAGTGATGATGTGTAGTGTAGACGTGAACGAAGGCTGATGGCCCCCAGTTCCATGTGCCTCAACCGTACTTAAGACATGTGATTGAAGTATTGTAAAATAATCTGTCGTGATGAACCCTGTTACGCCAAGTAACCTATTTTCGTGATTGAGGTAACCAACCCCTTTGGAGATATAGGTTGACAAGTATATGTGAGATAAAAAGGGGGTCCAGTAATCTCTACTTAAGTCGGATATTTAGGCGTCGGCAGCAGGGCGTACTAACTATTTACACAGCATCACTGCGGTGCAGAAGGCAAGGGGAAACCACTGCACTACCCCTCCCAAGAAATCCTATGAAAGCAAACAATGAAACAAGAGTATTAGCATGAAATGGAAGCTGATGATACAAAGAGCCACGAAGGGCTTTCAGGGATACGACCTTCAGCAATGAAGTATGCGACTAAGAAGAAGAAGAAGAAGAAGAAAATAATATGTGCTGCTTAATATAGCATATATATTAAAATCAATATACTTACTTGAGGTGCGGTGTGCGACGCCCTTCTTCCCTCTTTCAGTTCTTGCATAAACACTTTCCCAATGACCATATCATCTTCGTGTCGAAAGACTGTTGAAAACACAACAGTCACGCGATCTTCCTGCGCTTCAACGTATCTGAAATAACACCATTTGCACATTTATCAATGACACTCCTTATCGGCCCCATACGACACTGCCAGCCAGTGAATTTATTTCAAGGTTTTTTGGTGTGGTCACCATTACATCACAGCTTGGCCAAAACTTCGAAAGACGTTGTTGAGAAAGCAAAAAATATTTTGGGATATAGACCTTTGAGACATGAAGTTGAGGTCTCGATTTTTTTTTTGCTTAGATGATTGGACAAGCTCACAGCCCACCTGGTGGTTAAGTGGTTACTGGAGCCCATAAACATCCACAACGTAAATGCGCCACCCACCATGAGATATAAGTTCTAAGGTCTCAAGTATAGTAGTTACAACAGCTGCCCCACCCTTCAAACCAAAACGCATTACTGCTTCACGGCAGAAATAGGCAGGGTGGTGGTACCCACCCGCACGGACTCAAGAGGTCCTACCACCAATATATTTTATTGTACAAGAAGTACAGATGGTACAGTACAAGAACGGGTCGTGCATTTTTTAAGTAGGAACGAAATTGGCTATTTTTATCCATACAAGAACATATAAGGTTTCTCAACATTTTTAAAAGTTAACTCAAATTTGTATGCAGTTGGAACGTTTGCCTACATTTGCCGCTAGGGGCGCTGTTCCAACTCCACTGAGTTAATATTACGCTACCGAGAACGTTAAAAAACTCGCACTAAGCAACTGAGCACTGGTATAGCTTGTTGATGGCATTACTTGATATACAAATTGTCTTAAATTTTAGGCAACCTCAAACTCAATATTCAAGACACCTATAAAGACATCAGTATTTTCGCTGAATTTCAATTAGTATAATTATACAAATATTATGCATATATATATATCGACGCTTCAAAGGCAAACGTGACTAAGCGACAATGCGTGAACTTTACAGTAGACTAATTTAAGGTTGAAATACCAAAAATTCTATTTTAATGTAGGATTGAAATGATTTTAATAGACCTAGAAATATTTTTTTTTGCGTATCGAATATGGTTATTACCTATCATTTATGTACAAAGCAGTTATTATCGCTTAGTCACGTTTGCCTTTCAAGCTTCTATATGTGAATATTAACAATACATACAAAGTTTCATCCTGTCGGTAGTTAATGACGGCTCGCTTGTGGCTGACGTCACCGTCCTCTTGCAGTCTGAAGTAACGTTCGAATACCGACGCAAAGCAATTCCTCTTCAACAGACCAACTTTTTTCACTACATCCTCCCAGTCTTCCGGAATGTTCTCCATGTCGAGGAGCAATGAGATATTGTAACCTGTGTATTACAATGTTTATGTCACATAAATTATAAAAGCTGTACCTGGATCTTTACAAGATAATTATTGCAAGATAAGTTTTATGCCAATAATTTATCGTTTTGTATTAATTGCCGAAGCTTATCATCTTACAATCGTACATCGACACCGGCCACTCCGGACCCCAGGACATAGTAGTTTCAACTGCAATTTGTATAGATACATTTGTTCTTACTTAGATGTCTGAACGAGCTCACGGACTACCTAATCTTAAGTAGTTGCCGGTGCAACTGACAATGTGAACGCCGCCATTAGCCTTGAGAAATGGGTCTATATTAAATTATTGTAAGCCGACTTAACCTAATGGGTGTATGGCCCTAACAAAGAATAAAAAAAAAAAAAAAAATATTGTAACTGCTGCCCAATCCTTCAAGCCAGTACACATTACTGCTTCGCGGTAAAGGTGATGATACACAAAAACAAAACTAATGTTACGATAAAAAATTTCGCGTTTGTTTTTTCCTGGACAGGATAGTGATTCCAGCGCGACGCTTCCCTAACATTAATTACATAATGTCTTGCCTTCATTGTGGAAGTCGTTCGTGAACACATATTAGAGAAATATTTCCTTAGAAAAAATGGTTCGCGACCGCGAAATTTCAACAACGCCACAGTCGCATCGTATCAAGATACGAATACACCGGGCGTCTTATCGTTTTGGCAATGCTGACTTCCAAAAAATTAAATTAAGTATGGTTATCAACTGCATTCTTACGTCATAATTTATTCTATTAGTGATAATACAATTATGCAAAGCTGTTTACATTCTTTAGTGGTGTCGTACAAGTATTTGCATTCAAAGCAGGTTTCTGCACTTATTACAATTCATAAATTTTCATTCCACAAACATACCCAGATAAAACATGTACAACATTATCTTATCAATTTTAAAGCAAAATTTGGTAAGACTATCAGCCTTATCCATACTCACAATAAGATATAAATGTAAAGTTTATTAATGAAGAACATTATTTTCATTTTATTATTCAAACAAATTTCATATTATTTCAATCAGCCTATATTTTACCTGAATTTTTTTAGTCTGTTCTGTCACTTTTTCAATCTATAAATAAGATGAACTAATATTTAGAATAAAAATTAAATTATATTTTAGCATTTCTCTGATAACTGAAGTGTTTATATAACTTCGAGGTCATCTATTGCCATTCCATATTTTATCAAATTAATAATACACCAAATAGTAACGCCGAGCCATTCATAGGCGTGGTTATGTGGCACCGACACGCGACGATAAAAATAAACGGGCAAAGCACTCTGTGATTAATTAATCTCCAAAATGAATATCAATAAGAACTCATTTAGAAACAATTCTTCAGAAAACTATTCAAAGTAAATGTTTTTCCTACTCACAATCAATTTATTTAGGATCTAATTTTCACAACCTTATTCTACTTCTCATCAGAATTAAATTGACACAGAATTTTTAATATTTTGAAATTGACGTTTTTTCTTCTTTGTTATTTATTGCACGCCGCTCTTGGACTCTTTGACTATAGCTATTCCGTGAAATGTTTAGTCCAGGCAAGGAATATTACCTATTATCTAGCCTTGTATGGGACCAGTAAACATATTTAAAACAAAATGCTATACAATTATACTATATTTGGCTCTTTTGGTTGACAAGGTTGCAGATAAAGGTCTAGATGACAAGAATAATACACGGCTCCATAATAGTAAGTAATTATTGGAGCCTATACATTACAACATAAATGCATACAGGCATTTGTACCACGTGTTTGAAGCCTAGAAATCTTGGAAGATCCCAGATATTTTTTCAGTAGAAATAGGCATAACAGTTATACCAATGTATGGAGACTCAAAACACCTTTTCAGTAATGTGATTCATTCAAATAAATACTTGTAAAAATGTTCTATAAATTTAGATAAAATACATATTTCCTGTTTTTAACGTAATACAAATTAATTTACTTTAAATGCCAGCTAGGCCTTCAAAAACACAACTAATGAGTACATATAAAATTAAGGAAAATAAGGTAGAATAAGTCCAAGTGATGTTATATAATCTAAATATAAATAAGGAATTCAGTACCTTTGTCATCTCTGGTTGTCAATCTGTTTTTTGTAATTGGCGATAGACTGAATAATTTAGTTATTTATTACACTTGTAAAATTTACACTGGGAGACTTATTGCCTAAGGCATTCTCTACCAGTCAACCAAAGGTAGTGCCGAGAAAATAGTGGTAGGTGCAATGAAATAATATTAATCTTACCAACATATTTTAGATATTATCAATTGTATTTCTCTAAATTTCAATAAACAATGAAAATAAATATTTAAAAAAACAAAATGTCACTGAACTGTCAGTAATTTTAGTAAAATTTGGACCACAGCATGAACAAAACTGCTAATAGATTATCCAGTTGTGTATAAATATATACAATAGAAATCATATACAACGACTTCGCTTATAACGACTAACCGCTTTTAACGACGATAATGATTACTCAAGTTAGGTTTCATAGTTAGGTACTGAGAAAATATAACCGTTTAGTGCGACTCCGTTTTAAGCGACCAACTGCTTATAGCGACCCTTAATTATGAATATTATGATGATACGTCCGGTTGAAACGACGCACAATGTTTTATTTACGTAACCTACCAATACCTCGGCGCCCCAACTTCACCCCGCCCCCTTTATTGGCGCGTGAATCAAAGTTAGTGCTTGTCACTTGTTATGACAAGTTCTTAAAGCTCGACAAAATGAGTTCTATGAAGCGAAAGTGTTTTACAATTGAAGAATAATGTGCAATATGACACCGATTAGAAGCCGGTGAATCAAATGCAACCCTCGCAAAGGAGTTTGGTGTATCTCATTCTACAATGTCAACATTAAAGAAAAATAAAGATAAGATCGAGCCGATGTTTAATGCCAATGTTTTAAAATACAAACATGTAAGGACTTCTACTCATGAGTCGGCGGATAAGGCATTGTTACAGTGGTTCAAGCTTCAGCGCGACTGGGGAATACCCGTGAATTTACCCTCTGCTACAAGAGAAAGCAATTTTTCGCTATACAGTTAGACATGCAAAATTTTACATGCTCCATGAGTTGGATAAATATATGTACTTAAGAAATAATTCTGCCGTTTTGTACGTCATCCGGTTAGTACGACATAGTTTCGCCGGTCCCTTGAAAGTCGTTATATCCGGATTCTACTGTATTGATAAGCAATACTTCCAATACTTCTTCAGCATCAATCTATAGTAGTAGAATCTTCAGCTAAATTCCTAATTAACTGTCCCCTTATTTAATCTCCCCCATCTAGAATACTGGTGATATCAAAACATATCAAAACCCCTACCCCTACAGGTTAGTATTGCCTTTCATCCCATTGCTACTGCTATTATGTGTTTCTGTTTCATGGATAGGATACCCATTATTTTAATATAATTTAGACTATACCTCAAGGCAGGGCACATCATTCATGTTGTGATAAGTTTGGACTCTTAGTAACTGATACTATCAGATAAACCATAATATCTACGTGTTTCCCGAACGTTATGACATGTCCTCCTTCAAACAAGGCTTGTGGAGAGTATTAAGCAGTAGGCAGCAGCTTGGCTCTGCCCCTGGCATTGCTGAAGTCCATGGGCAACGGTAACCACTTACCATCAGGTCGGCCGTAAGCTGGTTTGCCTACAAGGGCAATAAAAAATATATATATTCTCCACATCTCTTCCATTATAAGGAAGAAAACAAAATTTAAATATCTTTGTGTAATTACCTGACTCTGGTTCAGTAAGAAGGGGTCCATACACCCTCTTGAGGAGCTCATCTGCTCCATGTTCTTCTAATTGCTTGTAGAACTTCAAAGATATACTAACCTAAAATAATAATTTGTAATTATGTACATTTTATGAGTCTAAGCTTGAAGGTCTTTGTTGATATTTAATTTTAAACATAATTCTATTTATTCTTCGTAGAATTTTTTTAAGGTTTAACAACATTTCCTCCAGGTGTTTTTCCAAATTTTTCAAATAACAAACCTATTTTCTCACCTCATTCAGCTACTGATTTTTACATTTTTAATTGCTAGATTTATGTTTTGTGTTTATATGTTTTATTGACATTTTTATTCAAACCAATAACAAAACAATTTTAAACATAAAACTACACATTACTAGTTAATATGACATCATTGTATTGAGTTTCTTTGATTTAACTATCACTTATCAAGTCATACATACCCTAACTTTGGTTTTGTCTCCATTGACATTGGATATATGGAATAATACTCCATCAAAATCAGCTACAGTAACATCTATTGACTCAGGCTTTAAGCTGAAAACAGAAGGGGATAAAAATAAACACTTATTTATTGAATAAATTAGTCATATCCTCTTAGTAGCGACATTTGGTATCAGTTTCGGTGCATTGTTTACGGGCAATATGGTCATTGGAATTCTAAGCCTTTATATGGGATATTTCCGCAGACAAAAATATGTGGCACTTATAAACAACCGATATGACTCATCCAAGTCGTGATAGGCACTAACGCGTCACTGTGACCGTGACACATTAGAATTTAATTCCATTAATACCTGTTCTCTGACACTAAGTGCACAATTCACTTGGTATTTGTACTCCAGCCGTCAACGTGGGACCACCCCCAGTGAATCTTGACACTTGTCAAGTCCTCCCCTGGAGGGGTTATGCCCAGGATACAATCTTTATAGGAGTCATCATCATAATGACTATTAAAATTTAAACAACTACCGTAAACAGTGTACTCGATAAATTGATTCTAATCACGAAAAAAACAGTAACTTTCTAGTGTAACGTACTCACCGCGCCAGTGCATTTTTATATTTAACCGTTAGTGTTTCTTCTATAATTCTATTATTGATCTCGAGTAAGATCATTATTCAACAATTTATAACCTACAGATATTTCATAAAATCAACGCCTAGAGCACCTTCATTTAATTTTTTTAAGTAAGAATTTTTACGATGACCTCCCGTGCGTATAGACAACCAAAAACGACAGAGAAAAGAAACGAAAAAATTGAATGAAATTCGACAAGCAACCATAGAGTGTAAATTGAATATATGAACGAGAGCTTAAAAAGTTCTTAGATTTTAGTGGAAACTAAAATGACAATTATCTACAAAATGAAGACAATATACATACATATAAACAATTTTTAATAAAAAATCCACGATACAAGCGAAGCTTACATCAGCCTAAATTCTTAGGAATATAATGACATGTCATTGATTTTTTTGAACTCGTAAATTATTGCAGTCCTTTTGTTACTACTTTTTCCTATATTTTATTATTTTTTGATGAATTGTTTGAGAAAAATATTAAACATCGTAAAAAAAGTGTGCTTGTGTGGTAAAAACTTAACCTTTACGTCGGTTAAGTCAAAAACCAGAATATGGGTCTTTTTTGTCTTAACTGAAAACTACGCCTAAAAGCAGAGTGGAGTTATCAAGATTCAGCAACATACTTTTTATCTCCTTTAGCCCCATTGAGTTTCTTGCTGGATCTTCTCAGTGTGTGGCACTTCTGATTTAGTGGTAGATTCAGCGAATTACTGCTGCTCGGGCAGCTGGTAACAAACTCCACTCTTCCTGGCTGAGTCCGTACTCACTCAGATCTTTTGGTGAAACTAAAAAGGTAACTGACCGCAAGTAATCCTTCCTTCTTAAAAAAGAAGTCTATTGAACTCTCAAAAAGAATTATCATTATACTGAGAGGTTGTGGACAGCATTTCATTTCACCTGATTCCTTTCATTTCATTACAAAGAGTATATTTTCCTTTAGCACCATTTGGCTTTTGGTAAAATGTTAATTATTCAAGTTACTATTTTTTCCAAGCCCACTGAGTTTCTCGCCGGATCTTCTCAGTGGGTCGCGTTTCCGATCCGGTGGTAGATTCTGCAAAGCACTGCTCTTGCTAGGGTCAGTGCTAGCAACTCTCCAGTTGAACCCCACGAGCTCACCTACAAACGTTAGGGCGAAGCTGAAATAGCCTCTCAAGACTATCAGCATAGGCAAGGATAAAAAAAAAAAAAAAAAAATCACACACACTACTTGACTTGTATGAGTTATTTTCCCTTTGCCCATTCATTGAACGAATCAAAAAAAAATGTATTCTGGCCATATTCTACTGTATTCTACTTATTAACTCCATGATTCTGGCTGTCTGTCTTGTCAACTATTTTTCGTTCTTTCGTATCTGTAGGTAGTTATCTCAAATATACTAAGTGTATAATCTATGGGTAGGTATATTATCTATAGTCAATAGAACAGACAAGGCTGGGCTTAGATTCCCTTGCCTTTCCTAATAAGGAAAAGTTGTACCAAAAAAATAATCTATGGTCAGTAATACCGTTTGTTTTCTAACATCGTCACCTGGTGTTTCTTTAGTTGGTTCATTTAATTTCTTAGGTTGCTTATTTTAGCAATACTTTGGATAGTGATTGTTTTGTCAAATTTATTTTTGTAACAATTAGACCTAATTACAATTTGCTTTAAAAAAATGGAACAAAAAAGAAAAGAAGAAGATATTCCAGGTGAAGAAGGCAACTTATTAGAACAGCCAAAGGAAGATACGATAGCACCTCGAAATCCTTTTATGAAAGTGCGCACCTATGTTTTGGCGCTGAGACCGTGGTCTCTAAGTGCAAGCTTGTTACCGACACTTCTTGGAGCAGCACTCTCTTACCGGCTACCGGGCGACAATGGTTTCAGTTGGTGGACTCTCTTGCTAACATTGTGCACAATACTTCCGGTTCACGGCGCCGGTAATGTCGTCAACACGTATTTCGATTTTGTTAAAGGAATCGACAACCGCAAGTCCGATGACAGAACTTTAGTAGATCATATTTTGAGTATTGATGAAGTGGTATCCCTTGGTGCAATACTATACCTAGCTGGATGTGCATTTTTTGTTCCGTTGGTAATTTCATCACCTGCCCGTATGGAGCATCTAGCTTTAGTTTATTTTGGGGGTTTATCATCCTCCTTTCTATATACTGGTGGTATAGGTTTGAAATATATAGCTCTGGGGGATATATTAGTTTTAGTAACATTTGGTCCAGTGTCTGTAGTATTCGCTTTTCTGGCCCAGACGGGACGAGTTGATTGGCCCATAATGGCTTATGCGATACCGTTAGCCTTAAACACAGAGGCAATATTACATAGTAATAATACGAGGGATTTAGAAATAGACTGTAAAGCTGAAATAGTAACACTGGCTATACTAATTGGAAGAACAGCATCTTATCTATTGTTTGCATTTTTATTATTTATTCCATATATAATGTTTGTGGTTGCTTCTGTCCGTTGTTCATTATGGTTCTTGTTGCCAATGCTTACATTACCAAGAGCTTTTGAAATAGAAAGAAGATTTAGAAGTCCAGATGCTATGAGGTATGTGCCAAGACAAACAGCTAGGTTAAACTTTTATTTTGGTATGCTATACATGATCTCATGTTTGTTTGCTAATAAGCTGCCATTTCTTTTACGATAGATAAAAGATAGGTGGACACTAAATTTATTGTCTGGTACCAAATATATTTATAAATCTAATAATAAAGTTATTTGTTAAAGAATTTAATTTTGTGAACAAATAAAATCATTATAATGTAATGTTATGAATCTTATTGAGTTAAATATATTTCCATTTTTAAATTCACTAATTATAGTTCCAATAAAATCACTAAATTATTACAATGTTAATAGGAATAAGATCATTTGATACCACAAGCTACTTAATGCCTTAAAAATTTAGTGACCAATTGCAATATAAGATTTCTTTGAGTACCCAATTGATTATAATTATAATCTTTAGTCCTAAATGACAGACAAACTTCACACAAATTTGTATAATATAATTTTTTTTAATGTCGAGAGTTATGTCTTTGCCTTGTATGTTGTAATTTCTCCTTCCAGTGTAAAGAATATTGTTACTAGAAATAATGTTGGTAATAGTTTCCCGCTATGTTAATTTTATTCATGATTGTAGACTGATAAACATACCTTATGCCATACATATGCAAATCTAAATGAATGAATGGAGAGATTTAGTTATTAGATTCTAGAATTATTTACGTGAAGGTGATATAATATCTTCTTATTTCTTTGAATCTCTTGTAACATATTCATAATCTTACAAATATTCCTATCTACAAAGTGTTGTGTGTTAAAGCTTTATTAATGTTATTGTATTAGAAATTATGCAATCTTCTTTATCATATTGAATATAGTTAAGTGTTAATGTGAATTGGACAATAATTTATTGCTAAAAATTAAGAAAAAAAATATAATTATTTACAATTTTCATAGAAAAGCGATTTTATTTTAGTTCTATTCAATAAAACCCATGTTTTACTTTTATGCTGTATGTGTATTTATATAATCAACATAAATGACCTCTAGTATAATGTCTTGGTAAAATATAATAATTACAAGTGAAAATATACAAGTGAGACCATAATAATTTTTAAGAAATGGATTTTAGTATGTATTTATAAATTATCCATGACTTGGCAGTGATTTTAAAAATACATATCTATAGTATAAGTATTAAAACTACATGGTTTATATTATTATTTTATGTTTATCAAGTATGGCTATTTATATTACTTTGAATGAAAAAAAAAATCCATTTCTAACAAACTAATTATTTAAAAAAGGAACAAAATCACATTGATTAAAATTAAACGATACAAAATAACGTTTGCTAAAAATAGACTACACATAATATCACTAAACACAATAAATTGAATAGTAAAATTAAATACATTTTTTCCTAAAATTTTATTTTCATGAAAATAGTCTTTAATCAACACTCCATACATTTGTTTATTATCGTATTACATAATATTATTTATAATGTTTGATTTTTGTATATTAATCATTAGTTTTAAACTAATGTATGACTAATCGATCCACAATCGACGTTATTTGCACATGACTAAAGAAAATTTAGTTTTTAATTAAAAAAATGCTCAGTTACATGTTTTGCCATTACATTTTTTTCTATACTTTCCGGGGTTTAGACAAGCACCTCGCCACGGAACCGCGTCAAGTAAATGGCATTCATAAAATTAGGCCTCATTTCCTATATATACAGAAATGGGAGTACAAACATTATTCTAAACAGACCGAATACCAAACTTGGGGACAAAGTTGCGATTTAAAATTTTTATATACAAAAAAAATGCATTAATTTTAAACGTTCGATAAATGTAACAATGCACTGCACACGACCTTCTTTTAGTTTTTTTACATAATAATAAAATCATATGAAACATCTCGGCCTACATAACATGGAACAATAGACATGGACACTTCTTTAGTTTTTTTTTTAACTATCATTCGATCAAATCTCAAAAATGTTTAAACCATTTCAAGGCAAATTAATCCCATTAACTGAAAACTATTTTCATTTAAACGATAACAATTGAAGAAGTTTCGATTTTATAAAAAAAATATAACGAGAAATTTAGTCACAGAAAAACAAAAGAAAAGTTCAAGAAATTCTAGATCAAAATAACGGAATTGATATGCACTTCACCTTTTCATATTATGTGGTCTAGAACCGAATTCCACTTGCCGTTGTCCAATAGTTCCAAGATTCGCGGCCAACGCTTTTAAAACACCTTAAAACTGATTCACTCGAACTCTAAAAACACTATGGTACGAGAATTTTAATCTACGTAATCAATTTGGTGCCATCGATATCAATCAATTGATTCAATGGACACCTTGTAGTAGGAAAGCTACGACGATAATATATACTAAGTTTTGTCTAACACGTTCATTAGTATAGTTAAGATATTCACGAATCGTTCTCACAAACACACACGCTCTGGATAATCTCAGTCACGCGCGGACAATAGTCCCCGAAGGCGGATCACACCTGTCGTTAGTCTTTATATGTGTAATGTTATGTACATCAGACTTTAGCCTTGGCTTTGGACGATTACGTTGATTTTTTCTCGCGCTGCCACTGTTGGATTCTTTCTTTGAGTTCAGTCGCTGTAATAAAAACATTCAAGATTCAGATATTTTTTTAAATTCGGTGTTACCACTCGTAGGTAATGTTGTGTATCCGCGTGGGTTCCACTAGATCAATGTAACACCACAATTCTCTCGATTTATGCCGTTAAGGACTTATGCATTCCAATTCAATGGTGGAATAACCGTTATAAAATTCAAGTGATGGCTTCAAGTTCATGTTTCAACGTGACCACCATGAAGTCGTCGTGGCCTAAAGGATAAGACGTTATTTATATGTATTCTTTTATTTTTCTATTGTCCTTGTAGGTAGACGATCATGTGGCCCACCTGATGACGAGTGGTTACCGTAGCTTATGAAGACATTCTGTTTAAAACTTCAAACTCACTATTTTTTTTCTGACTGTTTTAACGTCGACGTAGCCTAAAGGATAAGACATCCGTTGCATTCGTATCTAACGATGCACCGGCGTTCGAATCCCGCAGGCGGGTACCAATTTTTCTAATGAAATACGTACTCAACAAATGTTCATAATTTACTTCCACGGTGAAGGAACATCATGTAATAAAAATCAAACCCGCAAAATTATAATTTGCATAATTACTGGTGGTAGGACCTCTTGTGAGTCCGCGCGGGTAGGTATCACCACCCTGCCTATTTCTGCCGTGAAGCAGTAATGCGTTTCGGTTTGAAGGGTGGGGCAGCCCTTGTAACTATACTGAGATCTTACAACTTATATCTCAAGGTGGGTGGCGCATTTACGTTGTAGATGTCTATGGGCTCCATTTACCATTTAACACCAGGAGGCTGTGAGCTCGTCCACCCAGCTAAGCAATAAAAAAAATCATATGATGTCCTTGAGCTCTAGTAACCATCTAACAGCAGGTGAGTCACGAGCTCGTTCACACATCAATGCAAAGAACAATTATGATAACTGGATGGTGGAATAATGGAATCTGATCATTACCTGGACGTAGTTGGTCCTCGGAGAGAGGCTGTCGGTTGAAGGGGTCCGTGGCACTGTTCAGTAGATGACGTAAGATCACCGACCTGTCCATTACCTGTTTAATACAAATAAAATACAACACATTAATAAAACTTCGCAAAAACAAGTAATTATATTCTTATTGCATGAGATAGTGTGGTAACAACACTATCCATTTCTCCATAGAATTCAAGGTCGCATGGCAGTCTGTAGATAATGAACCTCACAGACAAAGTTAATACAGACTCATACTCTGAGCCATGAAGTCGAAGTCTCAATTGTGTTGTAGAAAGGCTGACCTTCCTTTAAACCGAAAATCATTACTACTTCGTAGTAGACATAGGCAGGATGGACCTTCTCGTGCGGGTTTACAACCTTACTAACATTGGAAGTCAGTTGGTGATCGCAGTACGTTTACATAACAGAGAACGCTGCTGCCCAATCCCCGAAGAATAGTCGGTTTACGACACCCAGGGGAAAGGGTGGTGATAATCCAGGCCGACACGACGCGGCCAATGCAAAACCGCGCGAAAATAAAATCACATCGTCTTTTCGCATTAAAACTGTATAATCTCAAAACTTACTAATTTTACAGGAGAGTGTTTTAAAGGTGTAACATGTGATATTTTTAATATTAATCATCTTTGCAAAATTTATTTATGAATTTTTACCAGTAAGATTATTTGTCTTTTAATGTAAGATAAAATTATGTATTGATTTTGTTAATAGCAGTCAAAACATCGGTAAACAAAAAAAAAAAAAACTAAACTACGCTCTGTTGACAGTATTTATGAGAAAAATACTGGTGATACCCAATGATTCCGCATATTAACTCAATTTCGAATATTTTTGGAAACCGTACACTTTTAATGAGAAAAGACGATATATGAAAAAAAATAGATATTCTAAGTCATAATTAAAATGTCAAGAAGCGAACCTTCCCAGAGGGTAAAACCACGGGATCCGTCATCAGCGTGTCCATGAGTGGATCCCGGAACTCTTCGGGGGCGTCTGCAAATTCGTCGCTTTTCTGCTGGTTCGACACTGAAACGAAAAATAATTATAAAGAACCCGTTTTTATTATTAAAATGCACAATATATAATATAGTGGTGGTCGTATAATTAGAAACACTACTAACGATCCTTGAAATTATGTAAGATACTTCACTACTGCAATGGCTTTTTTAAATTTTTGTTAGAAGTTTTTAATTAAACAATAATTTTATAACCTGTAACGAGACCTTTAAGCCAAGTCTTTTTTTTTTTATAGATTCATAACAAAAATCAGTTGAAGCGAAATGAAATGAAGTTTATTAATCTGAGACTAGTCAATTGGTATGAAATTAAATTAAATGCGATGGGATGGGATTAAATAAAGTCTCAATAAAATGATGGTTATTCACTGAGACTTCTTGGAAAAGGCCAAGAAGCTATGTCTAGCGGCTTTGTTTCATCTTCCCACATTTGTGCACTTTCTACCGTGCCGTTATTACACATTTAAACCTGAAGAAACATTAAACGCAACTTCGCTCCTCGCGTACCCGCCAAAAATGATTTGGTACCAAATGACGTCACACGCAATGAAGTTCTTACAGCGGTTTTATGTCAAAAGCCGTTCTGTTCCCTGTGTGTGGAGAATACTTGAGTATATCTTGTGTTGAAGTAAACTCACCAGCAATTTGATAGGCATTGTCTGCGAGCGCTTTAAAGCGTTCTATTTCTGATGGTGTTTTTATGTAGGACTTTGTGAGCCGCACGGCCGCCTCTTCAAACAGTTCTTTCCGGAACGATCTCTGTCGAAAAACATCACAACACTCCATCATTAAATACTCGTAAACGTAAATTTATAAAATACTGCTGCAGATATGTACGAGACATCGATTAATCGTCGACAATTGTGACCCGGACGCCATGCACTGACCTTCTGAACTACTTACTAAATATACAGAACCAAGTCTTATGTTTAAGTTAGAATCTAAACTAAGAATAAACTTAAGCGCGAAGTTGGTAGTAGTTCTTTACTGTGACTTAATTATATTAGAATCGATTTCAGTGGTTAACCCTAGACACACCTTTCAATAATTATTAAATTTTCTTGTTTAAAATACTAAGACTAAGCCATTCAATAAAAGAGTTCATATATTTCAGATTGATTGATTGTTAATAAGATTTGTTTAAGTAATAGACTACTATAGGTTTTTTCCCTACCTAAGCTAATAGCCTTAAGAGGCTATTTCAGCTTTACCCTAATGTGTAGGTGAGGTCAAGCCCTTCGTCGAACTATAGGTAGGGAGATACCACCACCCTGCCCATTTCTACCGTGAAGCGGTATGTGCTTCGGTAATCACTTAACACCAGTTGGATCGTGAGTTCCTCTCAGCAATATCTATATATTACTAGCAGATCCAGCCACACGTTGCTGTGGCTAAGGTTTTTGTTTCTAAATAACACGCGGCCGGCTATGCTCATACCAAAAATTCACAAACTAAGAACAATTGGATTTCACTGTATTGCGTTTACTACGAAATAAATTTCACTTATACTTTAGTCTCAGCAACATGTGGTGTTTATACCATTAAATTGTAGCTTATGTGAAAGGTTAGTATTTTTAACACAGCCCCACCTATGAGATATTAATGTCAGACAGTATTACAATTATCTGTAAAAACTGATTTAAGGCGCCATCTGTTTTAGACTTATGAAACTTACAATTAATAACAAAAATCAACATAAGAAATCATTTTAATGGTAATTAATAAATATTGCGACCATTAATCGAAATAAAAACCATCCTATCTTTCAAGTTGGATCAAACTGCACACGGTGTAAAAATTTCATTCAAAATCGATTAAGTAGTTTAGGAGTCCATCGCGGACAAACAACGTGACACGTGATTTATATATATTAAGATTAATACCTACGTGAAGCAGAAACTTTGTACCCCTTTTTACGAAAGTTGCGCGGACGGAGGAGTATGAAATTTCCCACAGTTATAGAGAATATAGAGAAGGAGTGCAGAATGTTAATATTTTTTTTTAATTATGCACAAACTTTAAATCAATAATAAAAACAATAATACACACACTACCTTGTATCTGACATACACACGCATGCATACTATTTGTTTATTGTCAAACTTTTCTTAGGTACATATTGCTTATAGTCTGTGGTCAAATTGAGAATAGATTAAAAATATTTGTCTAAAGTGTAGTCTTGGCGAAATCCGTAATTATCTATACTAATATATAAATCTACAGTGGTTTTTACGGATGTTCCGTTATAACTACTGAACCATGCATCTGATTGACTTGAAACTTGGTATCCATGTAGAAAATACATGTACTTAATGGATAGACTAATATTTATATGAGTTTTGGACTCCCTACACCAGTTGCGGGGGCGTTAATGATGAGAATCTTTGTGGGGGTGAGAAATAATAATGTTTATTTTAAATGCCCAGCGAAGCGGACGGGTACAGCTAGTAGAAGTATAATATTGACAATAGAATCATAAGAGTATACAAACTTATAATTTCAATTAATTATAGTCCAATTTCGAGTGCCGGGGGACCACTAGTATATAGAAATTCATGTATAGGAGCCTATTTCGATAGGTAGATCGGGTGTTGTTAGTAGTGTAGTTATGAGTTCAACGCACCTCGTCGGCGGCCAGCGCGGCGTGGAACTGCGGGGAGTCCAGGTGCAGGTAGATGTCCACGAGCTGACTCAGCAGCCGCCGCGGCTCCCAGCCGTACTTCTCGGGCCGGCGGACCTGCACAAATAATTGTTTTCTGTTAGCTGCATCTTAAGTAGATACGTTTATTATAAAAGAGAGAGAGAGAGAGAAAACAAGATACATTAATTTAAAATATTTTTGCACTTTTTTTATTAATAATAAAAAAGAAATCTCCTGTATGGTTAAAAAGTTTTGTAATTATCGATTATACTGTATAAATAATAATATTCACATTTATTGAACATTAATATTATACACTTTAATATTAAGTTAGCATTAATACTAAGAACTCCTTTACAATGAACTCTACACTAGGCATGTCTGTGACACAGAAGACCAATGACCAATGCTCGCCTCCACGGTGTTTCCCGAGCGCTATGACATGTCCTTCAAACGAAGCTTGTGGAAAGTATTGAGCAGTAGGCAGCAGCTTGGCTCTGCCCCTGGCATTGCTGAAGTCCATGGGCGACGGTAACCACTCACCATCAGGTGGGCCATATTCTCGTCTGCCTACAAGGGCAATAAAAAAAACGTAAATGCCGCCACCCACCTTGTGTTATGAGTTCTAAGAGCTCAGTATAGTTACAAGCCTTTAAGCCTTTCACTCTTCGATATGTAGTGTGGAGCTCACCTTAAGGTTTTTACACTTGGGGCCGCAGAGCTGCTGCAGGTTGAAATTGAGCATGGAAGCGAGCCGGTCCACCAGCTCGCTGCGTAAGAACGGCTCTTTGATCTCCACCGTCAAGTACTCCAGCATGTCAACCGTTTCTCTGTAAATATTGTACCCATTATAGTTTAACAATAAAGACACATAGCACATCAATGTGGGAAATGGAACGTTTAGAGTGAAAGGGATGAATGTATGGAGAAGAAAGGGACAGAGCAGAGATGGTCAAGATGGCGATCGGACATTATAAGTTGAACAACTACGTGTGCTAAAATAATACATTTTGTTACTTCTCCAAAAAAACTGTGTTATTTTACTTTGAGCTAATCCCACATCAAATACACACAAAAAAGGCCAACACATTTACCAACCAGCCTTCTTGAAGAGCGGTTTCTTCATCCTAAGAACTGTCATTCTTTTTCGTTTGCTAACGTCAAGAGAAGTTTTCTAAATTGTTCGATAACAACAAACGTGTTTTTTTTTTTTTTTTTTTTTTTATTGCCCTTGTAGGCAGACGAGCATACGGCCCACCTGATGGTGAGTGGTTACCGTCGCCCATGGACTTCAGCAATGCCAGGGGCAGAGCCAAGCCGCTGCCTACCGCTTAATACTCTCCACAAGCCTCGTTTGAAGAAGGACATGTCATAGCGCTCAGGAAACACCGTGGAGGGGAGCTCATTCCATAGCCGGATGGTACGTGGCAAAAAAGATCTCTGGAAACGCACTGTGGATGACCGCAGTGGCTCCAGGTAGTATGGATGAACTCTACTCCGGTGGCGGGCGGTGCGATGGTAGAAACGAGATGCCGGTATCATCTCGAACAACTCCTCAGAGCACTCCCCATGGAACATACGGTACAAAATACAGAGGGAACCGAAGTCCCTCCGCTTTTGTGTCCCTCCTGTTTTGTGTACTCAATATTTCTCTTAACTCGATCACCCTAGCTATTTGGCCCGATGTTGTCTGACGATGGTCTTAATAATGCGGTTTTCCCGACATATACATAATATACTAGCTGACCCGGCAGTCTTCGTAGTGCCTCAATCGATAAATAAAAAACCTAAACTTTTGTATAAAATTAACTTAAAACAAACAAAAGTAATCTGTCCGACAGGGGACACATCCAAGGAAAAACAAAATTGTTATTTTTATTTAAATCCAAGCATTTTCATATTTATCTAAACCTTTTAAACCTTCTGTGGACTTCCACAAATAATTCAAGACCAAAATTAGCCAAAGCGGTCCAGCCGTTCTAGAGTTTTAGCGAGACTAACGAACAGCAATTCAATCCGTCTGGTGAAGTGGTAAGCGACATGGTCACTACACAAGGGGGTCGCGAGTTCGAATCCCGTCAAGGGAAGATATTTATATGATAAATATAAAATGTCTTTTCCAGGGTTATGGATGTATATTAAATATATGTATGTGTATAATAAAAATCTTATTTATTTCCGTTATCTGGTACCTGTAACACACAAGTTCTTTACGAACTTAGCACGGGACCAGTTAAAGTGGCGTGATCGTTAGTAAATATATATTTATTTATATATATAATATTTTATATTAGTAATTTGTAAAGTTAAAACGGTACAAAGGTAGAATGTCGCACCTGGCGAGCGTGAGGTAGGAGCGGCACTGCCTCTCGTCCTGCGCGAGCGTGCGGGCGCGCGTCTCCCCGCCCGCCGCCCCCTCCTGCGCCTCGTGGATGCGCTTCAGGTACTGCGGACAACACCACACCACTACACACATACACACTCAACACACCTATCTCGCTAAGTATCGGAATATAAAAATAGTTATCTGTATAACATCATTATCTTCACAATTGAGACGCTTCTCGATTTGTGGCGGTAGTCATTAAAGAACACAAGATATTTGATAGATGCCTGAATCTCGCTTACGACATTTTCAACATACGCGTACAATTATATACAAGTTACGACCAACAACATTCGGACCGTCGGTCTAACGAGCAATACGTTCCGCTCGGTGGAAGGTCTTCCTTCCGTCGTGAACCCACACGACTTACCTTTTTCTTCCTAGATGGAGTGGGTATAAGATCTATTCACAATGTAGTTTGATTTGATCTATTTCTACAAGTACCGTACCACTTACGTGAACTCTCATTGACGATGTCGGACTATAAACTAGCAATTACGGGGTTAAATTAGAAAATAATATGATGATATCATGAACGGGAGATAGCAGTGAGATACTGAAATGGACGCATTAATATAAAAGAAGCCAAACTACAACCAACTAAGACTATTCCATTTTACAATACAATTGAGACTTCGACCTCAAGCCTCAAGTAACAGTAGGTGGGCCGTGAGCTTCAAGCATTTATTCAATAATTAAATTATTCAAAAAACATACCAATAAAATACATTGGTAAGATTTGAACAATAGGCGACTTCAACAAAAGCAATTATACATAAAGAGGAGAAGATTAAACACTGACCGTGAGACACTCGTCGAGTAGGAATGTGGTGTCGTTCATCAACATGTTGATGAACTTCACGAACTGACGACCGGAACGGGATTCCTTCACGATGGCCTGGAACCACACAATAAGGTACAGTATACTGGTGATAGGACTTCTTGGGAGCCCGCACGGGTAGGTACCACCACACTGTCTGCCGTGAAGCAGTATGGGGCAGCCGTTGTAATGAAAACTGAGATTTAGAACTCATTTCTTAAGGTGGGCAACGTTTACGTTGTTGATGTCTATGGGCTACAGTGACCACTGAACACCAGTGTGCTTAGTGCAAGTTCTCGATAGCGTAAAAGTTAACTCAAATTTGTATGGAATTAGAACAGCGCCCCTAGCGGCCAACTGAGGGAGCACAAGTGGACGGTGTTTTTTGGGTTTCTTAAATGTTGTTAAATTGTTAATAAATAGTTGTTGTTTGTTAAATTTGTAATCAGATTTTATATTTAATGCTCGATGACAATCTTATATTGTAATTTAAAATTAAAACTTTAAAATAAAATAAGAAATCCCGCCCAAAATTGTGGACGCACGTATACGTAATGTGCCTTTAGATTTTACACTTAAATTATTTAACTAAACAAAATTATTACATATTTCCGAATCAGTTTCGTCACTGACCTGTTTATGTATGGGTCGTTCCCACATTCCCTTCAATATGATACTGATATGGAATCGAATAGTGAACTTATCGTAGAACTCCGTGCTCTGGCCCGTAGTCTCAATGTCCGTATAGAATTTCATCAAAGCGCTGGGCAGCTCGTTTTGCGACATCGGATGGTCCATGAACTTTTCGTATACGTTTTTCAGCTTCAGCGGAACCGAAAGGTTTATCACGAAAAGCACTTCGACAATTTTCGCAACAAGATATGGATTTTTGATGAGATGGGAATTGCAGATGGCGCTGAGGAGCCACGTTATGATTGGATCCTCTATGTATTCAGCGACTATTTGAGGTACGTATCTGAAAATGGACAACAAATAACATTATCTATAAATTAATACGTGAAGAAAAAACTTTGCACACCTTTTAATTTTACGAAAATTGCGCAGACAGAGGACTATGAAATTGCCCATAGTTATGGAGAATATAGAGGAGTGCAGAATGCTAATATTTTTTTTAAATTATGCCTAAAAAATACATTAAATCAATAAAAACACATTACACACACTACCATTGTATCTGACGCATACACGCATGCTTGCATACTATTTATTTATTGCCAAGCTTTTGTTCTTGACGTCTGTGGTCAAATTGAGAATAGATTAAATATTCTTTGTCTTTATTAATATTTTTCAATAGTGTGTAGTCTTGGCGAAATTTGTGATTATAGAAGTATAATAGTCTTTGACAATAGAACCACAATAGTGTACAAACTTAAAATTTCAATTAATTATAGTCGAATTTCGACTACCGGGCGACCACTAGTTATTATTATTATTATTCCGGTGTCAACCTCTGTTGTGTTTTAGCAGATATTAAGCTTATACATTTTTTGTATAATACAGGGGAAAGTTGTTAGACGAGGCCACGACCGTCAGCTTTGAAGATTATCTACGCAAGGAGGAGCTTACACAATCTGGATTATAGCTTTTCATACAAAATAACTTCGATCAATAATACTACTAGATTCGCGATTAGCGCTTCAAAAACGGCCCGAAAAATAAGACCACAAATAAATTTGTGGTCTTATTTCAAATTAGTATGGTCCAATCATAGCCAACACTAAGACGTCAAAACGCTGCAATGCGCGTTCAAAAACTGAGTAAAAAACCACCGTAACACCAAGGTTTTGGAAGGANTTTTCTGACGAAAGGACCTAAATACATATATTTTGCAATGGTAATTAAACTTTATGTTTAAGTATTAAGGTTTAGAATAAACTGAAGTCGTTAACATTATTAAACTTTTTTCTAAGAAATGAAGATGTTTTCGTGTCTGCAAACGTGGCCACTGGAGCGTCTTATTTTTGTTCCTGATCTTTAATCTAGTACTATTATTGATCGAAGCAAAATAAACTTCCAATTTGAATTGCTGTTCGTTTAGTCTCGCTACAACTCGAGAACGGCTGGACCGATTTGGCTAATTTTGGTCTTGAATTATTTGTGGAAGTCCAGGGAAGGTTTAAAAGGTGGATAAATATGAAAATACTCGGAATTAAATAAAAATAACAATTTTGTTTTTCCTTAGCTGTGTCCCCCGTCGGCGAGATTCCTTTTGTATGTTTAAGTTTGTTTTATACAAAAGTTTAGGTCTTTTATTTATCGATTGAGGCACTACGAAGTCTGCCGGGTCAGCTAGTTCCTGAATATATATTTTCACTTTACACTTTAAAACTTAAGAAAACAAAATGTTACCAGACATACTAAAACCTAAAAGCATAGTTTATGGGACTCACTGCACAGCGAAGAGCATGAACTCGGCGACGTCCTCGACGTACCACTCGGGCGTGGCGCGGAAGGCGAGCGCCGGCGGGCCTTCCCCGGCGGACGCGTCCAGCTGCCGCGACAGCAGCGCGCACACTGACGAGTAGAACTGCACGCTGCGCCGCATCACCTCGCCCTCCAGCAGCGCCGTCTCCGCGCACTGCTTCGATCTAGTACCCACCGACAAACTGTTATGTCGCACCTTTCGAATTATAGACCCAACCCAAAAAATGTGTTATTTGGAAAACATTGAATAAAGTTTTCAAACCGAAAAGATGTAGAGGAAGGAGGCGGAGTGAAAGAGACCAATGGATAAGTTTGTCTCTTAACAAGCCGCTTTTGGTCATTTGCTTATTAAGAGTCGCTGAAACGGGTCGCTATAGGTCCATTTTTAAAGTCGAAATCCAAAAATTTCGAAATGGGTCTCTATAATTCTAAAGGTGCGATGTGAAAACTGCCCCGGGTCTTAACATGAATGGCGACATAGGTTCTGTTAGGAATAGAGTTTTTATTATAATAGTACTTAATAATTTCAATAATGTTTTTGTGTTAACGAGTCAGGCGTTTTGGTGAAAACTGTAAGCCTGACTTTGTACTGTATTATAAATAAATAAATAAATAAATCCATACTACCTAGAGCCCCCGCGTTCATCCACAGTGCGTTTCCAGATATCGTATTTGCCACGTACCATCCGGCTTTGGAATAAGCTCCCTCCACGATGTTTCCCGAGCACTATGACATGTCCTTCTTCAAACGAGAGTTGTGGATAGTACTTAACGGTAGGCAGCGGTTCGGCTCTGCCCCTGACATTGCTGAAGTCTATGGGCGACAGTAACCACACATCATCAGGTGGGCCGCATGCCTGTCTGCCTGCAAGAGCAATAAAAAAAGGTACCTGTGTAGACGTTTGATCTGCCTTCTCCAACGTCTCAATAGTTCTCGATTCCGCAGAGCTGAAAAACTGTTTCTCCATTGTGGTTCTGCAGCCATCAGTTCCTCGATTACCTTCTGTAGGTCACGGAAAGCGCTGTAAATTGAAGAATCAAAATTATTTACTATTTTCCGTGGATTAAATTTATATATAGGTATGTATGATCTTCGAAGTCATGAAAGCGGCTTCCAGATCGATTTAGATCGTACATGACCACCGTCGCTCTTGGACCATTAGCAATGCCGATATAACCGCAAAGGACTCTTCAGCCTTGTTCTTTTACTGCTTTTCTAAGTAAACGAGCATAGGCCCTCCTGATGGCGAGTGGTTAATTATAACAAACTCGTCTACATGCTAATTAACTCAAGGTAGATTTTGGAATTTGGCGGCTCGAGGTCATGATCTTAAGCAACTCATCAAAGTACTTCCTATAGGAATTATGATGCAAGCACACAGAAAAATTCCGAATTCTATACAAACAGAGGTAGCAACGGCGGCAGTCGCCAGTTAACCTACCGAATACGTCTTTGATGTGTGTGTAATGCAGGAATGAGTGCCACGTGATGCATGTGCAGCGTCAGGAACCAACAAACAGTCTGGAATTTAGCCTCGGGCCACTTGTGGTTCGGATCGTTATCTGAAAGAACAGATTATATACTATGTATTTCATTTGTCTTACCGATTTCGTATGTGCAAATATTTCTTATACGTATCATAGACATCGTTTTTTTTTTCAAGTAATCACCAAATATCGCGTAATTTCGTCTTTTTAGTTGTTAAGTGGTTACTGGAGCCCATAGACATCTACAACGTAAATGCGCCACACACCTTGAGATATAAGTTCTATGGTCTCAGTATGGTTACAACGGCTGCCCCACTCTTCATACCGAAACGAATTACTGCTTCACGGCAGAAATAGACGGGGTGGTGGTACCTACCCGTGCGGACTCACAAGGTCCTACCACCAGTAAAGAAATGCAAATCTTAAATGCAAGTTTCTTTTAGTCGCCGCTTCGCGAATGCAATTCTCTTACCGGATCGGAATCGCGACCCGCTGAGAAGATTCGTAAATAGACGTAAACAATGTTTAACTGTTTAGGCATATTTCAGAGCTAAAGCAAATTACAATATCCTAGCATAACATTTATATGTCGGAGACGGTCATTAGTTTGGTAGCTAAACAAAACTTGTACGATTCCCGAGAGATGGCAGCACGATTGCGGTATCTTCGAAACTCGGCTAACTTCGTGCTACGACAGAGCCTAGCCGATGGAGGCGCGTAGACGCCATCTAAATTGTCCTAAGACAACAAAGGTATACTCAATATTTATCTTAGCTCGATCACCCTATTCCCCCCTATGATGTCTAACGATGGTGTTAATAATTATAGATTCTCCGACATACATAAGTGTATTTTTATTAATACTCAGAAATGATCGAAGGGACATGCTTATTAAATTATTTAAGTATCTCGTGAAACTTACTGAGTTCATCGAGCCAGTCCTGGGCCTCTTGCGCGGTGAAGTACAGTCTAGTCTCGTCGCGGACGTTCGCCCACGAGTCCGGTTGGAAAGTGTACAGCGGGTACACGCGCTCCAGCTTAATGCGGACGGACAGCAATTGTAACACCGAACACACGTTCAACATGAAGCCATCGCCTGAAATATTTATTATTTTTATAGCTTAGATGGGTGGACGAGCTCACGGTATACCTGGTCAAATACATTGCCGCGTTATTTTGTTGTTGAAAAAAAAACGGTACTTTCAGTTTTTATAATTAACTAGCGACCCGCCCTCGCTTCGCTTCGGAAACATGAAATTTCATTATTATTTACGACATCAAATTAGAAACCTCAAAAATAACAGTATTTTTCCACTATTTAATGGATGTTATTATACATATAAACCTTCCTATTCAATCACTCTTATCTATTTAAAAAAAACCGCATTAAAATCCGTTGCGTAGTTTTAAAGATTTAAGCATACATAGGGATATAGGGACAGAGAAAGCGACTTTGTTTTATACTATGTAGTGATAATACAGCATCGTCATGACCGTTAGTAACAATTTGTTCTCTGATCTCTGATTAAAATTCTTTGACATAAAAAAAATTCTCAACCTATTCGCTGGTAACCTAGGGTGCTATTCTAGCTATGCCCGGACGGGTAGGTGAGCTCACGGGCTCAACCTGAGAGAATTTTCTAACACTAGCCCTAGTAAGAGCAGTGCTTCGCTGAATCTACCACCGGATCGAAATCGCGACCCACGGAGGAGAGCCGGCGAGAAGCTCAGTGCTCGCTCGCTCAGTTCTCTCGTCAAATTTTCGTCGTAATCGAAGATTTCGATGAGGACTGTGACCGGTGCTTGAAAGGCCTAAATGTACCGAGAGAGGATTTGGGGGATCCGACAAGACACGTTTGCATTGTCCCGTCGCCTGGATTAGATAGGTTTCTATTTTCCTATCGATATACTTATCTACATACATTTTGGATTCAAGGATGTGACACCAGTTGTAGTTGTAGTACTGTACAAACGCGGTAATTACTAGAGTATTGAAAATCAAACTACAAATTTTCAAAAACGACTTGGACTATGAAACAATGAATATGAAGAATTACTTTGCAATTCGAATTGCCCACACGTATCGATACTTCAGAGAGGAGGCATTAACGTTTTGGTGACTGTGATCTCCGGTGCCCCATTTACGCCAATTAAGTAGCATGAACGCTAATTAAATTTAAACCTAATATTCGAGCAGCCGTGATGTCAACAATTTTTTTTCCTTTACTGCACATAGTCGGTGTGATATTCCTATTGAAATTCTCCTCAGGTTAGAGCCCCGTGACCTCACCTATTCGTTCGACTATGCTGGCAGGGCTACCAGGTAATGTACGAAAAAAAAAAATTTGAAATAGCTTTTGCCCGCGACTTCGTCCGCGCGGAATAGTTACTTTGGCATATCGCTAAATTTTACCCGCCTCTTCATTTACGTAGAAAGTGAAAATATTTTTGAATAATAGAATGTTATGGAGCTATTTAAAAGGAAAAAAAACAGATTTTGAAACACTCTTTATTAGTGCTCCGCTTGTATTTATTGGTCTTAGCGTAATGTTATATAGCCTTCCTCAATAAATTAACTATCTTACATTGAAAGAATTTTTCAAATCGGACCAGTAGTTCCTGAGATTAGCGCGTTCAAACAAACAAACTCTTCAGCTTTATAATATTAGTATAGATATAGATTACGCTAAAGTACCTTATAGCTTTATAAACGTTGAAAACAGTGATACGTATAATGCGGAATCAAACAGCTATTTTCATAATGTTAATTTTGAACTTTCTCATACATTCTGACTAAGAGTTACAAACGTTTTAGTACAGTAATCTTTGTTATGATGGGCAGAGGCGAATGGCCGCAGCGATGCTGTCAACCTTGAGACGTAAGATAATAGTCGCAAATACACGAAGAAATGACGATTATTAAGTGACCGAAACAAAAAGAAAAGAGAAAAATACAAAGTTATTTGGCAAGAATGAAAATGTACCCCGATCACTTTCTAGGTATTGGATTGAATCCAAATAATGAAATCGTACAATCTAAATACAGGTGTGTTCGTGTTAAATTTTGTATGTCTATACTAAAAGAGTCTATACTGCATTTAAATGGTAAAGTGTCATATGAAAAATTCATGTGCATACATAATAAACAGTATTAAAATCATATTCCAAGGAATGAAATTTCACAAGTTTAGCACTGTATTTATGTTGTTTGCTGAAGTGGACGGGGAAAATATTATGTCGAGCGAAAAATGCAGCGCACTCCTGGTTTGAATGGTTTTGATACATTTTATCTTTGAATTTCAAATCATAGCCTTCGATTTGTTTACTATTTTAAAACCGCCCACAGGCATGTATGTACCTACATCAAAGATGTTTACAAACAAAAAACATTAATATAATTATGGTTAAGGTGGATCAAGCCAAAACACTATTCTGATGAAATATATGTATTTAAAAAAAATTATATTTTAGAAGATGCATTTTACGAATTTGATATACTTACGTGTTAAGATCTTGAAATAAAAGTATATAATCATATTTCATCAGTACAGAGTGCCAAAAAAACAACAAATCCTCATTTCATCCACAACTGCGCGGATGGAGTTACGTGATACGCCTAGTATTATTATTATCTAGTTACGTAAAACTACATATTGAATTCGTTAATTGAAAGACTACAATTCTATTTGTGTCAGAGTCGACGTTGAATTAATAGCACATAATGTTCTAATCAGCATTTTGTTTGCCGAAAGTTATAGTAGTGAATGATCTACTGTGCACGCCAGTACTTTTCCCGAGACACTTGCGATCGTAAACATAAATATTTACACGGAATCAGTTACAGTGTTACAGCGGTTCGATGTAGGGAAACTTATTATTTGGACCGAAGCCAAACGTATGTTTATTAGACAGAGACGAGGTTAGCGGCATTTCAAAGAAATCCAACATTTTCATCAAGTCATTCAGTCGTAATTTTGCTAATTGATATTTTTATTATGTTTCCAAGACATTGTTGTGTCTTGAAGCACTATCGTGGTCTTTACTAGAAAACGCACTAAAACGGTCAATATGTAAGGACTAGATTGGCGTAAAAAGACAATGGAATGAACACCAACAAATGTAGAAAACAAGGAAAAAGAAGTAGGGTAACAAAAGACATATTTGGTTATTTATACCGACCCGGTGGTGCAAGAATTAGCGCCCCTAACTATCATGTGTTCGATTCCCGTATTTAGCAAATCTTGGTGTGATGCACAAATTTGTTTGATCTAGTGTAGGTGACTAGGTGTTTGATTTCTATTTGTATATATTTTAATTTATATAAGTATGCATATCAGTCTCTGACTCTCATAGTACCTACAGGGAATTCTAGTTTGGGATCTAGTCTAGTAATAATACGATTTATTGAAATTAATTAAATCATAAGTTTTATTTTTTAATCTTCATTGAATACCACTATTATCTGAGGTGATAAAAATGGCCTGGAGAATTTTAATTTTCAATGTTACTACAAGACAGAGGTAGGTAATGCTACAGTCAAACCACTACCTCAGGTTTTATATAATACTAACAATACCCTGGGAACAAGTCACACACAGTTACTATATAACTGTGTGTGACTTGTCCCTCAGATAAGAGAGGTGCTCGATGAAGATATTTAATTAATTTCAATAAATCGTTACAGCTACCGGGCGAAGCTAGTCTAAAAAAAGGTTATAAGCCTAAGTTACTCCTTATATCATCAGCTATCTATCAGTGAAAGTCTCATCAAAATCGGTCCGGCCGTTCCAGAGATTAGCCGGAACAAACAGACAGACAGACAAAAATTGTAAAAATTCTTATTTTGGTGTATGTACTGTATATATAATCATATATATGCATGTAGTAAAAAGCGGTTATTTCAATATTACAAACAGACACTCCAATTTTATTTATATGTATAGATCTCGTTACGGGGATCATTTTACGTAACTCACCAGCGAGAGTACGTTCATCAGTCTGCAGTTGTGCGCGTCGTTCATTTCGCTGCAGTATGGCCGCGAAATAGTTTAGGAAAGGCTCCCTAGCCTCGGGACAGACCAGGATATTATGACAGATGTTGTGCAGAGTATTGCGACTGGCTTCCACTTCCCGTTGCAGAGCAAAGGCCAAGCTTCTGTCTCCGGTTCCCGATGAGAACAGACGCTCTGCCAAACGGGGGTTCTCTTCCGCGAACAACGATATCTGGAATTATGCATCTTATTCAAAAAGCTTCTCATTATTTATTTTTTTCTTATTCCTACACTACATCTCATATGTTTGTGAACTCGGCAATACAATAAAGATATTTATAAAAAACTAGCTGTATCCGTCCGCTTCGCTGGGAATTTAAAATGAACATTATTATTTCTCACCCCCACAAAGATTCTCATCATTAACGCCCCCGCAACTAGTGTAGGGAGTCCAACACTCATATAAATATTAGCCTATCCATTAAGTACATGTATTTTCTACATGGATACCAAGTTTCAAGTCAATCGGATGCATGGTTCAGTAGTTATAACGGAACATCCGTAAAAACCACTGTAGTCTGTAGATTTATATATTAGTATAGATTATGTGAAAAAAAATGGCTTGTCGGTAATGAAACTCACTGAGAAGAAGGGCCCGAGGAAGCTCACGCGTGCGATCTCGCGGCCCGGTGCTGAGGTGACTGGGTCCGGACAGAACGAGGGTAGGCGCGCCAGCAGCTCGCACACAGGGCGGCGCGTGCCACGAGCCCCGGCCCGCACCTCGCACAGCGCGTGTAGAGCTCGCAACGCCGCCCCGCCGCACACGTGGCCCGTGCCCAATGCACTGCGCATCTCTTCACGAACTCCAAGCACCAGCCAAGTAAACACCTGTCCGATCCCATCATCGATTACGCTTTTTCATTACACTAAATCAGGGGTGGGCAAATATTTTGATAGTTGGGCCACATTGCAGATGAAAATTTGACCTCGGGCCAAAGAGTTTTTTTCTAATTTTAAGTAGTTTTTGCTAAGAATGTCAATTGATGAATTTTTTATAACTTTTAATTAAATTGTGCGAATATTATACATACTGTAATTGTTCAATTATCATAATTATATTTTCGAATAGGAGGCGCTGAAAAGAGCGGTTGTCCGGGAGAAAATTTTGACTCCCACCGGCATTTATGTTAGATAAAAACTAATACCTATTTGTGTTTTTAATAATAATATATACATATATACAATGCTTCACGGGCCAGACAAAATTCTACCGAATCCGGTTCGCGGGCCGCCATTTGCCCAGGTCTGCACTAAATTATAGTTGGTACTTGTAAATATTCAATTTAAGTATATCTGTCACATTGACATATAAAACGACATATCAGTGACATTAGAGTATCGTGGACCTAGTTTCAAGATTATGTTTGGATGGGCAGACAGACAGGCCTATATAAACTAGTGATACTTAGAGCCTATATAAACCACAACGCGGATACCGGTGCCCACCTTGAGCCATTAACTAGGGTCTTATTGGCAAAACGTGATAACTACTATTTATTATACAGGCGATACTATAGATAGAATCGAGCACAAGGTTGTTTTGCAGCACAAGAAGGCAGAATGCTAACACCTATTCTGTCAGAACGAGTTCCATTCATGTCCTTAAAAGAAATAAAATTATTCTAAAGATAATAACTACAGATTTATTAATATTACAATTCAGTATTTAATAATACATCCTATACTGTAACATAATTGTGCTTAGTATACTTAGAGAGGCAATCTTGTGTTGTCTTGATTATCAAGATTTTATTGTAACTATCGAAGTCTATAAGCAGCAGGTACCTGCTTTGTTGACGTCCATCAGATTCGGTGACTACTCACCATACATGGGCTTTAAGCTCATCTGCCCACAATAAAAAAAAAAGCAGTCATCACGGCCTAGGGTGTTAAAGGACGAGACGTCCTCATATATTGCGTGATGTTTATATTTATTGCTTAGTTGGCTGGACGAGCTCACAGCCCACCTGGTGTTAAATAGTTACTGGAGCCCATACACATCTACAACGTAAATGCGCCACCCACCTTGAGATATAAGCTCTGAAGTCTCAAGTATAGTCACAGCGGCTGCCCCGCCTTTCAAGCCGAAACGCATTACTGCTTTACGGCAGGAATAGGCAGGGCGGTGGTACCTACCCGTACGGACTCACAAGAGGTTTTACCACCAGTAAAATGGTACTATGGATGGTACTATGTTCGTTTTCAAAACCTGCACGCAGGTCCCATTTTTGCTAATCAAATACAATATGCTTAGCTACATATGTTCAGGACCGTCTTGCATGATCCAAGAATAATGGTAATAATGACCGGATCCGCAAGAATTTAATTTTCGTAATTACTGCTCATAGGACGCATTGCGAGGGTAGAAACCACTTCTTATTGCATTAATGAGCAACTGAACCCATAACTCAGTTGGTGTTTAATAGTTACCGGAACCCATAGGTATCACAGCATGACCCTACCCATTTTGAGTCATCAAGTTGACTAGTAAAAATTGTATTGTATTTGTAAGTTTATCAGTGAATCTCAATGAATTATATCTTCCGTAGAACTGAATATAATAAAATATTTTTATTATTTTTCAAGAACACTAGTTTTGCTCTTGGGTGTGTTTCAAATCTTAAGACATTTCAAGTATATTTCGTTAATTTGATTGTTAAAAATGTGATTTAATTCCACAATATACTAATAAAAGGAGTGGAATAATTATTGTAGTGTATTAGTGAAGATACTTGTTGTCCTTTTAATAAAAGGATTGCGGAGTGCAAGTTGTATAAAGACAGACACACAATGAACAGATACATTACCCAACATATGTGCATAAGTTCATAATTAAATAATAAAACATAACAGTTATCTTTTTGCTAATTTGTCTGTCAAATACAATGTTTGTTTCAAATTCAAATTTCAAATCAATAATAATTTAATAATGAAATAATTATGTGCTTATTGGAGTAGGTTCAAATTTAGAAGTTTTTTTCAACTTTTTATTTGGTTTAATACAGCATATTTGTGTTCTTACTGTACTGGTTGGTTAACTAAGTTTATTTATAAATGAATATAAACCAATTTATATCAATGTAGTTGTTTGTTAGATAAAAACAAACATATACATTTACATATTTCAAATCCAATACTTGGTTGAATTTAATTCAATTGCAAGAAATCTTGAATATCAAATGTTGGTAAACATTCAAATCAATAATTTATATTTCAATTTAAATGTCATCATAACATACTTGTTGAATAACAAAACTTGTAAACTCTACCACTTGTTCCGAAAAGAACCACAGTACTGAGAACAACTAGTGAAACAACAAACGCAGCAAGCCTGGACTATCTATTATTCAAGATATTCGTTAAATAAGTTACATTATAAAGGTCCTTACCTCATCAAATATTTCTTTATCAAGATATGTAGCAAGCAGTAATTCTGGGATGAGGCCCGTTGGTGCATTCCCAATCAATATGTAAGGTAATAATGGTGATTTCCTGCACTTTTCCAATTCGAACCTTCCTTGTAACACTAGTACCAAATGATTGACCAGTATAGTTCTCAAACTTTGGAGCAAATCACTCAAAGGTGGTTCTGAACTCTTCTTGGGGTGTTCTCTTTCATATGAGTTTACATTATTGTAGAATTGAAGTAAATAACTAACAACTAAGCCTTGTGTGGGCATCGTTTTCTGGATTGGTAGGGCTGGTGATGGGCATTCAGGTTTATCCGCATCTGTTTCTACACTTGTTGAATTGGACAAAGAGTCCTCACCATTCTCCTCATTCAAGTTCTTTGAAGTCTCAATAATTGCAGTAAGTTTTTGATTCAATGGATCACCACCATCTGCTATTTGTATTATGACATCCATTAAAGCTTCAGATATGAGCTCAGTCAGTGAAAGTTTTGGATTATCAAGTAACGAGGCTGCCACTGTTGGCACAAAAATCCCACCTGCATACAAATATTATCTTTTTAATAAGATAAAGTAAAAGTATTAAGTACAGAAAAATTAGATGTGACAAGTTTTATTCTAAAATCCTTTAAAAAACATATCTTGATTTCATAGAATTTTAAATTGAAACAACTGTTTAAAAAAAATAACAATTTTGTTATTGCAAAATATTATGGATTGTTTCCAAATTAGGTAGGAAAGATTATTTCCAAACATTAACTTTCCTTTCATTCCTAATTAATATATATTAATTTACCTGCACTGTCATCTGACCATGAAACTTGAAGAATCTTGGATACAATGGTGCGTAATTGCTCTTCTGTCAACTCTGTGCAACTGACAGTTCGAGATCTATGTATTTTACGTGCCGGAGATGCTGATGAATCATCTTCAACCTTAAATTACACAATAGGTTAGAAACAATTTTACAACAAGTTACATTGGATTTTCAGTTCTTTGCTACCTCCATTGGTTCTTGCTGAGCTTCAGATTGAGAATTTCTTTCAGACACATCATCTACTTCCATTGACAAAGAACGACGAGAACAACTTGGTGAAGCACTTGTTTGTCTTGGTCGTACAGGTGATGGCTCAACAAACTGTGGTGGAGATATAGATCTCGATGTGCTATCTTCCCTTGTGGAACTCCCTTCTGAACCGGCAACAGTATTTTGCGGTAAGCTTCCCACTCTCACAGACCCACAACTTATCAATGTGTCATCACCCATTGAGTCAAAGCTACTGTACTGTCGTGTTTGTGTAAGATCTGTCATTTTTGTGTCTGGCATTTCATCCAATATATTGTTGTCAGTTTTTTCTGTTACAATTAAACCGTCTGCTGATATTTTATTTTGATCTGATTGATCTGACCTGACTTCTTCTGAGTAATTGGGCTCTCGATTTGCATTCGCTGTGTCAGGAGTGGTGGGTTCTGTAGAGCTTCTAGTTGAAGGAGCTGGGGACAATCGTAAGGGTTGCTGTGGACTGTGTAGGTCAGGAGAAGGGATTGAGGCGCCAGGGGTTACCGGAGGACTAGCTGAAGTAGGCACTGATCCTGCACTATTAAGAGCTGCGAGCCGAACCAGGCGTCTTCTTCGTATCTGTAACGAATATTGACATCTTGCAGCACGTGTGAGTAAATGACAATTGCTGGGACGTTCACCATTGACGCTTTGTTTTGTTACGAAATTAGATTGGCCATACGTAGTAATAGACGGTCGTTTAAAAAATTTATTTTGACTTACCTCCTCTTGGCTCAATTCACTCATGATGAAAATTATAGAGTAGATTTTTCTATTAATTTGTTCGGCCTATTCTGTTACGTTAATTTTTCTTTCAATATTTTTAAGAAAAAGAAGCACAAGCCACACAACGAGTCAGTCACCTCGCTCAGCTGTTTGACGTTTGAGGCTGCACAATGACAATGACGAAGTTAATAATGAAAATACACGCGTCATCTTTGTAGATGAATTAGTATAAAGAGTATGTCTCTTTTTGTGATATTTGAAACATCGTAAACAAAAAGAGATAGCACCAAATATGACATTCACCCACTATACAAATGTTACCCTAGCAATAAAATCATTCTAGTACTATGTAGCTAAAGTTTTTTTTAATAATTTTCATACCTACCTACTTTTAGCATTACTCTTCCTGCAGGGAGGGCTGAGCCTTTGCTTGCCCACCTGCCCTGGTAAAACTGGAAAGACCTCCGGGCCACCAGTAATCTCTCGAACATAAAAAAAAACGTTTAGCATCGAATACCACAGAATGGCTGAAAATAATCCGAGTTCAATATTTTACTTTTACATTATTTAACTCTTACATAAACGCAAATCTGTAAATATGTAACATTTACTTGATTTTTGCGGCATAACGTAGTGTAAGTGATTGCAATATTAAATTAATAAATTGATGTGTTTAAAAATGTGTAGGTTGTATGATTTGTTCTGAACTTTTCCCTTTAAATAAACACAATGAATTCAGTCAATTTTCTGCAGTGTTTTCCTGCAGAGCTGCAAAATCCTGTTATTTGGCATGAATAGGTACGGTCAGTAACCAGAAAGAATATCCTGACTCATAAAAAAAAATCACATTCACAACTTCTCTTGACTGATACCAGTCAGTCACTTACTTTTTGCATGGAAGTAAGTAGGTAGGTAGGTGAAATTAAAAAAGGCAGTGCCTAAAAGTCAATTTAAACGAAAAAAAAGTGGCAAGAATAGTTACTATGAGTTTATAAAGGGCAATAGCGAGGCTGGTAATTTTCGGGGCTAGATTTGGATTGTTCTTTTAACTTTTTTGAGGGTAGTACGATCTACAAAGTGATATACCTATTAGTCCCAATAGAGGTAGTTTTTTTTCTAATAATAGTAAATGTATAAATGATCTTAAACTAGTCAATAATAAGCATAAATATAACACCATTTGTTGACAATATTTTCCTGGCCATTAATTTATTATTACATTCCATAATTTGATCTAACGATAACAAAAGTCTACATTTAACGATTTTTATTTACTCTTTGAACTTAGAATGAAGAAGTTTTGGGTTTTTGTAATTTAATCTTGAATTAACATGAATAGTTATTTTGTATCGTTATTTATATGTATTATTTTTCTACTGTCCTTGTAGATAGACGATCATGCGGCCCACCTGATGATGAGTGGTTACCGTAGCTCATGAAGACATTCTGTTTAAAACTCAAATGCCGCCCATGTACTTCAGCAATGCCAGGGGCAGAGCCAAGCCGCTGCCTACCGAAAATGATAATGAAACAGATGAGTTATTTGAGCCATTAATAACATATTTGATGACAGGCTGTACCTACTTAATGCGCTCTAGTGCTGGAAATTGGAAAACTACCAAGAAGTTTTTTTTTAAATACCTACATTTGTGAACCATAGATAATCTATCAATCTTCTGTCAATGGCCGAATGTTATTAACTTCATTTGTTTACATTTATCTTTTAATAATTTGGGTAAAAATCGTTGACTAGCAATTATATCTACAAATATACAAACGAAATCATGACTAATAGTAATTTGAGTGAAACATTGATAGAGGTTTGAATTCATAATAATTTATAGCAGTGATGGTGATGAACTGCGAGTGTAATAGTTTGTTCAGAGTCTTTTAAAAAACAAATCTGGCTTTCCTTGAAATGAAAATTTCTGACAAAGGCGACAATATGACGAATCATCAAGTATTAGAGCTGATATCAGGTCTAAAATCTCGACATTCAGAAACAAGACACCGAGCTGTACGAGAGTTGTTACATTTTGCCAAAACAGAACTGCGGGAAATGTCTCAGGATAGTTTGACCCAAATTTTAGATGATTTCAATCAACAGATACACGATATGACCACTAGTTACGATAACAACGAAAAAAAAGCTGGAATTCTTACTATAGGTACATGATAGAGGTTATATTTTTATATTGGCCATGATTCACATGTCTTTAATGGTTCCAAATAATTAATCTATTAACAAATCTAGAAATTTTGCAGTAGGTGGTGCTGATTTAAATAAATAAAATGTTATAACATATCTTTTCAGTTTGTCTTATTGGAGGTGATACAGAGACCACCAAAACAAGGACAATACGTTATGCAAATTATCTACGAAATGTGTTTCCATCTACAGATATAAATCTCTTAGAATTGGGTGCTAAAACTATGGGACGATTAGCTTCCTCATTAGGAATTAAAAGAGGAGAATATGTGGAGACTGAAATAAAAAGATGTTTTGAATGGCTAGCTGAAGAAAGAAATGAAGGCAAACGATTGTCGGCTGTTTTAATTTTGAGAGAACTGGCTATATCTATGCCATCATATTTCTTTCAGCAAATAAACGGATTCTTCAATCATATCATGAGAGCACTAAGAGATCCTAAAGATCAAATACGAGAAGCTGCAGCAAAAGTTTTGAGGGCTGCTTTTGCAGTAACCTCTCAGAGAGAGCAGCCAGAGCAAAGTAACAAAGCTCATTGGTATATTCAATGTTATGAAGAAGCAGAGACATCATTTGGTGATCATGCTATTAGAGAAAGGGGATTGAACAGGGATGACCATGTGCATGGAGCTTTATTAATTCTAAATGAATTACTCAGGTGCTCAAATGCAGCATGGGAGAAAAAATACACTTCTTTAATGCAAAAGCTAGACCCTGATTTAGATTCTCATGACGAAATGTCTTCTCTCAGTCCTAAAATTCAGGGTTCATGGTCATTGTCACATTATTCAGATGAAAAAAATCAACCTCTAATATTTGAATCCAGTATTTGCAAGAAATTAATTGAAGATAATTGTGAAAAAATCTCAGCTGGTATGAACTGAAAAAATAATTCTTTTTTATTTAGAAAAATAAATTATAGTGTCATTGTATCTATTGAGACTAAACAATTATTTTTTACAGATGTAATGGCTCAGCAAATATCAAGAGCTCATAATGTGCATCAGATGCTCCTTTTGTTAATACCTCGATTAGCTGCCTTCAACAAAGAAACTTTTGCTAGAAGACATCTGAAGTCAACGATAAATCATTTGATAACATTCTTACGTGGTAGAGAAAAAGAAAAGGCCATGGCTTTCACCACACTTGGCTTGGTTTGTGTAGCTATGGAATCAGATGTACAACAGTATCTCTCAAGAATTATTGATATTATCAAATTGACCCTGCCAATCAAAGAAACACAGAAAAAACGTAATGGATCTGAAACACCATTATTTCATTGTGTTACATTACTAGGATTTGCCATGAAAGAGAATGTAGCAAATGAAGTTAGAGAGCTGCTAGATTCTATGTGTTTGACAGGCTTAAGTCCACAATTAACAACTTGCTTTAAAGAACTAAGCAATAATTTACCTTCTTTAAAAAAAGATATAACTGATAAATTATTGAACATGTTATCTTTAATATTGAGAAAGAAACCTTATGTTTCTACCAACGAAAATCACAAAGGTGTCTTCACAACTGCTTTGCTAGCAGAACCTCATGATGCCAATAAATTAGTATTGGCTTTGAGGACTCTAGGTTCTTTTGATTTTGAATGGAATAACACTTTGATGTCCTTCATCAGAAGGTGTACAGATCATTATCTGCTGTGTGATCACCACGACATTCGCCTAGAAGCAGTAAAGACAGCTGCAAGATTATTAACGAAAGCTGTGGAGAGATGCGCCCAGATAAATTCACGAACTTTAAATTTAATGATTGATGAATCCATAGGTAAAATTTTGTCTGTTGGACGATCAGATTTTGATCATGAAATACGCTACAGAGTACTTGAGGTGTTTATGAATCCAGTATTTGACAGATATCTTGCTGTAGAAGAGCATCTAAATTGTCTTTTTGTTTCTATTAATGACTCTAATTCTGAAGTTGGAGAACTAGCACTGTGCATTTTTGCAAGATTGAGCAATCTCAACCCAAGCTATACCACACCAACATTGCGTCAACTGTATGTACAAATTCTAATAGATTTGCAACATTCAGAATCTCCACGGAATAAAGAAAAAGCTTTACGAATGATAAATAATATTATATCTCATGCTCCCACAATTACACGTCAATTTGTTGATACAATTCTAAATGTGCTTATACCGAAACTGAAAGAAAAGGACAGTAATTCCACTATGATATCTACAGTGCTAAAGGCCATCGGAGATTTGGCAGAGGTTAATGGTGGTGGACATGCTTTAAATAAATGGTTAACAGAATTGATTTCTACTCAAATTGAAATCCTGGCAGATCCTAATCAAATCGAAAAGAGAAGTGTTGCCCTATGGTCTTTTGGTCAAGTTGTAAGTGCAACAGGGCACGTGGTCGCTCCGTACATGGAATATCCCAAGCTAATGGATCTTTTGCTAAATTTCTTAAAAACGGAACAGCAACTTCGAGAACGACGCGAAACTGTTCGGATTTTGGGATTGTTAGGAGCATTAGATCCATATAAATATAAAGTAAATCAAGGATTAATAGATTTCCAAACTGTGTCTACTTTGATACCTATAAGAGAGTCATCAGTCGATAGTTTTGAATCGAATATCAGTGAAATGTTAGTAAATATGTCACCGTTAGTACTAGATGAATTTTATCCAGCCATCGTAGTGACTTCACTAATGATAATGTTGCGCGATCCGACGTTAGCGCACCACCATCCAAGTGTTGTGCATTCTGTAACTTTTATCTTCCAATCACTGGGTATTAAATGCGTCCCGTACATATCACGGGTGACGCCAACGCTTCTACACGTTATTCGGACTACGGAAAACAGCAATTTTCGTGAAATACTTTTGACGCAATTAGCACAATTGATATCTGTTGTGAAAATCCACATTCGAAACTATCTGGAAGACATTTTTGACATGATAAGGGAGTACTGGACTCCCAACAGCCACCTCCAAGCTACCCTAAT